AGCATTTAAAAATGGAACTTTTATTGTACATTAAGACCCTTAAGCTGTAGAATAGTAAGGCGATATTTAGGCAATCTTATGTGTGTTTGATGTTGTTATAAAGAAACTAATTAGTTTTAAATTCATAAATTGAGTTTATACAATTGCCTTCCTTCCACAGTTTTAATTTGACAACTTAATCCTCAATATGAAGATTTCTAAGCTGCACATTTTTAAGTTCTAAATTGGAGTATTTTGAAAAATCCTAATCAATTTTCTCGTTCGAATTGTATATTTTTCCAAAATATATGTGATAGGCTTTAGACCAAAAGTCTACAACACGTACAAAGATTGTTGAAATCAAGATTTTATTTTTTTAGAAGAGAACTTTGCGCTGGCTTATGAACCTATTCCGCTCTCTATCAGAATGGATACTTGGAGAAAAATGTCAAAGGAAAAAACATTAATAATTATAAAACTGTAATTTTTTATTAAAATAATATTTTGGAGGACTTTGCCGTACTGTACATTTATTAATTCATGCAATTAAAATTATCTTTAAAAAAACATTGTTATACTTATCAAATTGTTTTTTGGTTTTAAAGACAAGGCACATCTATTTTTCTTTTAATTCCGGTGAAAGAGAATGATTGTAAATTGATGATTCGTGTACAATATATTGCTGTTTCATTGAATTTTAATGTTTTCACAGAGAGAAATAATCCGTAAAGTTAACAGCCAGAAAATACGCAAAGATTTCGAATATCTCACGCACTCGGAGATTCTCGAAAAAATATCGGAAATGCAGGTAAAAGGCCCTTTTTTCAAAAATTGATTATTTTAAATCTAGCTTTCTCTTTGATTAAACATTCGGACTTCTGCATTAGAGACAGAAAGGAAAATTATCAGAATTTAACACTTTTCCAGTTAACAAAAATCTATATTATTTTTTACCGTTGTAAATTGGGCAAACCCCTCTTCAACTGGAGGGTCATTTAAATTACGTAGAATTGGTTCCGACACGGTTACATGTTTTCAAATTTAAACCCAATTAGATCTTATCGTAGATTAATTAAAATAACAGAACAGGAGTTACGTGAACAGGCTTTCTCTCAGTAGAATTACAAGACAGAGAGTGAACCTGTACTACGTCGACTACGCGTAACTCCTTTGGGCTTCTTCTTCAGGGTTATTGGGACCGAAAAACCCATAAATCTTAAAAAGACAACATCTGGTGAATCCTAGCTGTCATTTCAATTAATTAATGGATCTTACATTTTGTTTGTCCTTATTTATTTAGGTAAAATTAAATATTACTTTCTGTAAGCATTAATTAACATAACATTAAGTTTTAATCAACATGAAGTTAAAAAAGTAGATATTGTGGAATTAAACTATAAATCATATTAGTTTCTTTAAAAATTTGCATTATTTTATTGTAATTTTAAAATTACAGGAGATATTATGAAAACATTCATCAGACTTCAAACATTAATTTCTTCATCGTTTTAGGCTAATGCGAGATATTTGAGTCAAAAGTTTGGGATCGTTCATCTCCGACCCGGGGTAGACCAGGTAAATAAAAGAACTGATTACTCGCCCAAAACTCTGATTTTTCTTATTTTAATGTCGTCTTTGTAGTTGGATGTGTTCATACAGGGTTACCTATAAAGGATGAGACTTCGGAGACGACTATACGAACTCTATACTGTCTGTTTACTTCTATACTCGATTCCATGCAACTGTAATCTTTTTTATTTCTTTGCCGAATCATTATATACGCAAACAGATTATTATATCTAAGGCAGAATATATAATTTAACCTTAAAATCGTCTTATTTTAAGTATCATTTTTTGTGGGTAACCCTGCAGTATTTCAAATTTGACTATTTGATATGAAAATTAAAAGTTCAAAGTCATTTATCTACATATCTCTCTTTTTTAGTCAATCTTTTTTAATATACACTTTTTAATATCCATTTTATCCATCAGTTCTACATTTTTTTTTTAGTCGTAGTCTCTCTGTTTTTGATTCGTTAAGCCATATTCTCTAAACTTTTACTCTGTTTCAGTCATATTCTCTTCTTTTAATCTGTCTCAGCCATATTCTCTTCTTTTAAGCTGTTTCAGTCATATTCTCTTCTTTTAAGCTGTTTCAGTCATATTCTCTTCTTTTTATCAGTTTCAGTCATATTCTCTTCTTTTAATCTGTTTCAGTCATATTCTCTTCTTTTAATCTGTTTCAGTCATATTCTCTTCTTTTAAGCTGTTCCAGTCATATTCTCTCCTTTTAATCTGTTTCAGTCATATTCTCTTCTTTTAATCTGTTTCAGCTTTATTCTCTTCTTTTTATCAGTTTCAGCCAAATTCTTTCTTCTTTTAATCTGTTTTTGCTCTATTTTCTTCTTTAATCTGTGTCAGTCATATCCTTTTCTTTTAATCTGTTTCAGCCAATCTGTGTCTCTTCTTTTAATCTGTTTCAGCCATATTCTCTTCTTTTTAATTTGTTTCAGCCATATTTTCCCTCCTTTTTATCAGTTTCAGCCAAATTCTCTCTTCTTTTAATCTGTTTTAGCCATATTCTCTTCTTTTAATATGTTTTATCCATATTCTCTTCTTTTAATCTGTTTTAGCCATATTCTCTTCTATGTTTTATCCATATTCTCTTCTTTTAATCTGTTTTAGCCATATTCTCTTCTTTTAATCTGTTTTAGCCATATTCTCTTCTTTTAATATGTTTTATCCATATTCTCTTCTTTTAATCTGTTTTAGCCATATTCTCTTCTTTTAATCTGTTTCAGTCATATTCTCTTCTTTTTATCAGTTTCAGCTATATTCTCTTCTTTTGATCTGTTTAAGCCATATTCTCTTCTTTTGATCTGTTTTAGCCATATTCTCTTCTTTTGATCTGTTTCAGCCATATTCTCTTCTTTTTATCAGTTTCAGCTATATTCTCTTATTTTTATCAGTTTCAGCCATATTCTCTTCTTTTTATCAGTTTCAGCCATATTCTCTTCTTTTTATCAGTTTCAGCCATATTCTCTTCTTTTTATCAGTTTCAGTCATATTCTCTTCTTTTTATCAGTTTCAGCCATATTCTCTTCTTATTATCAGTTTCAGCCATATTCTCTTCTTTTTATCAGTTTCAGCCATATTCTCTTCTTTTAATCTGTTTCAGTCATATTCTCTTCTTTTTATCAGTTTCCGAAATCAAAATTTGGCCTTAAAAGTTGGAAAGCTGCCAAATAAGGGAGAAAAAATCGCTAGTTTTTAACAAAATATTGCTTATTTGAAATTTAGAGTGCAGTATTATCGTTTGATGTTTCACTCTTTCAGGTTATATAATTCATCTACTTTTTAGCATGAAAGAGATGAAAAGGAAGAAGAAGAATTGCATAAAGAAGAAGGAGAAGAGGAAGAAGAAGAAGAAGAAGAAGTGAAAACTGATACGGATGACAACATTTCTAGAGCAAGTTTTGTCAGCCGTGAGGACACTTATGTGTCCAGAGCTCAAATCATTGATAAAATATATGAAAGGTAAAATTAATCACATCCCTTGTAGGGCGGCCATTAGAAAAGGATTTAGAATTATGGTGATGTCATTAAGCAAAATATTTTTGAATTGAATCTACACTCTAAATTATACGAAATAAAAAAAATCGCTTATTTGACAGCAAAAGCAAAAATAAGCGTCAATTAAAATCACTTATTTGGCAGTCATCTAACTTTTTGCTGCAAAATATTCGATTTTGAATATGGTTTTAACACTAATGGATTGTACTTGCAAGCCCTATTGCGCGCAAGTAAAATCCACTTACATTATTTTAGCAAATCCACGCAATACCGCGCAATTCCACAATTTAGTTATGATTTAAGATTTAAGTCCGATAAACATGAAGACATAGTGTACAGTGTACACAGACTAATTTTAATAAATAAGTTGTTAATAAAAGAGACTGGTAAAACTATCGCAAAAATATCAAAATATCAAATTCCTAATTATGGAGTTCAAACGCAGTGCGTTTCAATTAGGTCTACAAGCTAGAAATATAAACAAATCAGAGAAAAATTATAACAACAGATCGTACTGCATTGTTCATCTCAAAACCGGTTAAATGTCAACAACAAAGAGAAAACAAATAAGAGACGAGAAGAGATAAGAGAATAGAAGAAAAGAAAATATAAGAAAAAAAGAGAAGAAAAAATTGAAGAAAAAAGAAGAAAAGAGAATAGAAGAAAAAGAAGAGAAGAGTAGAAAATAGAAGAGAAGAGAAAGAAGAAAAATAGATTGCATCTTACAGACGTTTTATCATAAAAATATGTTTAAGAATACATTAAACTTTAAAATTAACTTTATTGTAAAATTGTATATTGATATTTTTGAAAAAAAATAGTTGTCCTAACTGTTTAACGTACATTTTTTTGATCATTTAAAGATTTTGATCATTTGGCATTTGATATTCTGATAGTTTTGCAATTTGAACACTTTTTATTCAAAAAACAATTCTAAGAAAAGTATTAAAAAAACTATTGTAAATGTTAAATAAATCTCGAAGAAAAGGATTCAATGACGTCATACTATTCGACAGAGTCTGCACTGTAATAAATACAAATTTGTAATATAAGATTTAATAACAATCATAAAAAATATCTCTCAATTAGAAAAGATTTGTAACTTAATTGTTTGTTTAGAAGACCCGGTTTAAGGCCTGCCAGTTCTTCAAAATCCCAGATATCAGAATCTAAATCTGTAGAATCTCCTAATTCCAGGGCCCATCATGAGCAAACTACTTCCAGGGCCCAAAATAACCAATCCAGGGCCCATCAGGGGCAATCCCGGGCCCGCCATGATTCTTGGTCTAGTCGAGCAAGCAGTATACTCAAGGCAAGTAAAATTAAAAATAAAAAATATTTTTTTTTAAAAATTGTCCTTCATTTTTTTCGTCATTTCAGGATCCTGAAGCTATCTACGTATCAAGAGGAGAATTGCTCAAAAATATCAATATATTAATAATAATAATTTCAGGAAAATGATCCCCTGTATATATCTAGAGTCGAACTACTCGAGAAGTTACAGATTAAATCTCTAGGTATTCTTAAAGAACAAACAATATTTAAAAAACACACAAATCTGACATTTTTAGGTTGTTAGAAATTTCTTTTCGTTTTTTTTTTTATTTAATTATTATAATTGAACATTCAGATGCGATACTTCATGCATTTTAATGTTTCAGAAACTTTGAGTGGGATTTCCCAGACTTCCTTTGACTCTGATTCTGACCAGAGTACAGTTAAAAGTGTAAACATGAATGATGATGATTATGACGATAAAAGTCCAAAACAGAGAAAGTGGAAATCTCAAAAGGATGTTTTTGAAACCGAACTCACTAGAGTCAAACACGAGTCAGCTCCCAAGAAATTACCACAAAAATCTTTAGAAGTCAGTTCACCCTTTCACGGTTCACCCCGGGCCCCAGAAAGAAGACGACATTCGAATGCATCTCAGTTAGGTCCTGCAACTCCTCCTAGGGGAATATATTCCTCTCAAAGAAGAATAAGTGCAGAAAACCGTAATTCGATTAAGCAAGATGATCAAGAGAAGAGAAAACATTTTCCATCTTATGAAACTCATGCTGAAGCTATGAAAAACGACAAGGTAATGAATGATTGTATAATTTTTAAACAATGATACAGGGTGTCCCAATAAACATGGGAATTCAGTGACGAATTCAATATCGTACTGCATACGGTTGTACTTATTAAAACAAAAAAATTGCAGTATATAAACAGAGTAAACTTGTCCGTCTTCACTATTCATCTTGCGGAGACATTACAGACACATCTTTACTGTTTTTTACCCTTTTCATAGAATAAATCCTGGCAGACATAACAAAATTATGCGTTTTGAAACTAGGTATTACAATGCTAAATCATAACAAAGAAGATATCGAATTCGTCACTAAATTCCCATGTTTTTTGGGACACCCTGTATATTATTTGCAGTGCTATATTCTGAAAGAACCTGAATAACCAAGGCTTAATCTTTGATTTCTCTCTAATTGTCGGGTATCCGGCAACTTTGTTCATATTAAGAAACATTTAAGCTGCAATGTTTAAAAGGAGATTTTAATAATACTTTTTTACAAAATATTTTTTCATAGCACTGTAAATAAATTTATTAAACAAAAAACGTATTCCGTTTTTAGTATTTCCAATATGATAACGCTATGTTTTATTTCAAATAAAGTAATCTGACTCTTTTAATACCCTTTAAAATTAAAAATTTGTTAATAAAATCGATAAGATCATTCATTTGGATTGTCATGCTTAATTGAAATAGTTGAACAATCCCTTAAATGAATTCCCTTCATGAATATAATCCCTTTATTGATATCCCTTTAATCCTAGTTGGATGAGAGTATAGAGGAGTGGGATACATGTTCCTGTGCAACCTGTCATACATGTCAACAGGTCGCCAAATACAATATATATACATATATATAATAAAGATACCTTCAATCAACATATTAATTTTTAATTTAAAAAAATTATTCTTATGGTTTATAAATATACATACAGATATATCTGAGAAAATATCATTTGAATTTTTATTGTAAATATCTATCTATATACAAAGTAGTAATCTCTGTGTGTTCGTTTGGATGTTCATTCATAAACGCTTAATCGATTTGCCTAAGATTTTGAATTTTGAACTTCTTAGCTTTTGAATTTTTTAGAGATTTTTGAATTTTTAAAAAATTTTAATTTTTTTTTCAGACTGATTGCAGTTGTTCTGAAGTTAGTAAATCCTCACTGGGTTCCAATTCCTCCGCTGGCACTGTAGTTGGTAAATACTTAATATTGTAGTAAAGTATAATCAAGAGAGGGGGAGGGAAGGTACTGTAGTTGATAAATACTTAATATATGTAGCAAAGTATAATCAAGAGAGGGGCCCGGAAGGCGCACCATCCCCCATAGTTTTTTTTGGTAAAAACACTCTTGATTTTGCCACCTTGAAATTTCTTAACTTAAAAAATTGTGATTAAAAGTTTTTTGACTACATTTTTTTTTTATTTAGATGTATAGGGTAAGGTATCACTAGTTAGGATTCTGATTTGTTAATGAGCTGCCATTTTAAAACTGTTTTGTGGACATGTCTTATTCCTCAATATCTTTACTCTGAGACAGTTTTTCAGGCTATACATAGATTAAAAACAGTTACTTTGATATAGTGTTCATCTGACTGAATAATCTCATGTGAAAGTTGGCAGATGTTAAAGTTGACAAAGTTGAAAATCTGACATTTTTTTCAATTGCCAAAGTTGTCATCTACTAAAGTTGACAAATGGCAAAGTTTTCTTACGGTACATTTGTCAAATAACAAAATTGTCACATGGTAAAATTACATATAGCAAAATTGCCATAGGCCAAAGTTGTCTTTTTTAAAAAAAAATCACATGGCAAAATTGACATTTCTCATGAGTTACAAGCTGGAGTGCCGGCGTTGCCCGTGAAATTAAAAAAATTTGAATTAAAAAAAAATTTATTTTAAAAAATCTAAATTTTTTAGCCTATAAAACCCCAGGCCCAAGGGCTCCCTCAAAAAAAATGTCAGCCAATGTGGTCCAGCAGTTTTCCAACTTTAGCTAACATATAAATATACATACATAAAGTAAACAATATTTATCACTTTAAATGTAAAACAATTTTTATCATATTCTGTAAAATCCGTGAAATCATTGTAAAAAATACTCCAGTATCAGTTTTATTCCAACTAATGATTGGGTTAGACCCATGAAACATTTTGTCTTGGAAGAAATATATATTTAAACATCTAAAATGTATATTTAAACTGAAAAAAAAGTTTAAAAATATATATGTGTATATATATATATATATATTGAGCGAAGTGCTTTATTTTAAGTTAAATAATTTAGGTGTTGGAGAGGAAAGCGATGAAAGCAGTCAAAGTAAAATATTGAGGTACGCTGTTTAGATTCTGCTGCGCCATGTATCTTACAAGAAAAAACAGCTAATGCTAACACAATTGCCAATCGTCCACTATCAAAAATTGTAACACATTTTGTAGGTTATTTTTAGAAAATGTGTAACAAATTCTAATAGATTATCTTCTATATAATAAAACAAGACATTCGTATATATGTTCCCTCTGGCCGGCCAATCAAATATTTTTTCTTCAAAATTCGATTTTTTAAAAATTTCCACGGGCAACACCGCGCCTTCAGCTAGTACTTTTTAATTATTTTAGCAGTGGTATTTTTGCAATTTGTTCCTTCATGTTTTAATTTTCTCTCAGCCGGATATGTGTGTCTTTATTGTAATATTTTATTATTGCAGGAAGCACTCTGATATTTATCACATCAATGGAAGCGAGCATTCTAAATCAAGCTCCAAAGGATCAAAATCGAGCTCCAAAGGGTCTAAATTCTCAAATAAATCCACAAACTATGATCCTTTGCCCCATAATGGTATCAATACGATAAAACAAAAACAACTTAGGTACAGTTATTTTTAGATTTTAGATTTTAGCAAAAAAATAATAAAGATAACGTTTCTTTCATCAACCATTTTGTTCTAATACTCATTTCTTTGTGTTCTGATTGTGGAACTTTGATATTGAAACTACCATTTTTTAGATCAAAAAGCTTAATTTTGAAATGTTAAAGGTGTAAACTATGAAGTTGCAACGTTATAGGAATTAGAATTCATGCTTTTCGTCAAAACAAATATAATTGCTCAAATTTATTTCCATTTAAAATCTTTTTTTTTTAGTGAGCATACAACAAATTCAATTCAACGATCGACCGGAAGGAAAAGCGATTCACAAGTGTCCAAGCGGAGTAACCAATCAGAGAGAAGATATGATACTCTAACCAATGAGAGGCAAGGAGGTTCAACCAATGAGAAGGGAGGATCTGTAAGCAGTAAGAAGAGTTGGACCAATGAGAAGTTTGAAAAACTGTACGAACCGGTTACAGTAACAGAGCTCAAGAGGAAACGACAGATGAAACAAATCAGAAACCATTTAAGAACAATGGCTCCCGATCTGGACAAGTATGTTTTTTTTTATTTAAAACTACACAAAATCAATTTTGGTTGGGCCTCGTTAAATACAATCGTCGTCCTATATATCAATACAAAGACTTAAATATTCATACAAAGAGTAGTTAATTAACAGATTTTCTTTGTAAACTTGTAATTTGCAAAGTGCATGTTAGGAATCAAAGCATTATTGATGTAAAATCGTTTTTAATTCGTAAAATCGCCAACCGCTGTATCTAAATGGAATTTAGTTATTCTATTCTATATGTATCAAAATGATTTGCAAATTTCTACAAGTGTTATTCTAATAGCTTCGGATACCACGCTCTACTGATGATTAATTGTACCAACCATTGCCGACCAATAGTAAACGCAGAGGCAAGGAATAACTGAAAATAGAAGGACTAAGTAAACATTATTTTACGATGCTCAATTCTTTTCAAGCATTCGCAAGATTGAAGTGTCTAGGGTATTTAAGAAAGATTTATTACAAAGTTTGGCTGGCTGTTTTTAACATTAATCTTGATTTTATTTTAGGACTGTGCAAAATATAAACACTTTTAATCTTGATTCTATTTTAGGGCTGTGGAAAATATAAACACTTTTAATCTTGATTCTATTTTAGGGCTGTGCAAAATATAAACACTTTTAATCTTGATTCTATTTTAGGACTGTGAAAAATATAAACACTTTTAATCTTGATTCTATTTTAGGGCTGTGGAAAATATAAGCACTTTTAATCTTGATTCTATTTTAGGGCTTTGCAAAATATAAACACTTTTAATATTGATTCTATTTTAGGGCTGTGCAAAATATAAACACTTTTAATCTTGATTCTATTTTAGGGCTGTGCAAAATATAAACACTTTTAATTTTGATTCTATTTTAGGGCTGTGCAAAATATAAACACTGCTAAACGTAAGCGAGTGTACAGACAAGTCCGTGACAGTGTAACTAGCCAGGTTTCTTCAAAAATATAAATATTCTAATCCAGATTTTGAAAATATATATGAAATTAACTATGAATTTCTATGCAGTTTTGAACAAATAACGTTTTTTGTACAGATGAATCTGGACGATCTATCTGAAGAGGATCTTGGGAAACATCTTGATGCTGCTCTGCGACAAGCTCTGGGAGGCTCTCTTCAAATAAACATTGGTAAGACTTAATGTAATTTTAAGTTAGCCTTCATTTTAAGATGGCGATGTTGGCAGATTTACGAAGGTACCCTTGAAACCTTAACGTTTACTGCATTCCTTGATATACATATATGTTTTTGTTTTATTTTTTTATTGGAAATGTTTCTCTTTATCTTTTTTTTCAAACTTTACTTAAAAACATCTGTTAAGGGCACATGTATGTTCCAATGGAGAAAAATCCCTCCAACTCTAAAATGGCGAGCAGAGAAAACACAGATTATGATACCTTTGGAAGTATTGATTCCTTAATCTTTGAACCCAAGGTAACATAAGCCATAAACCATATTAATTACCTACAATTACGTGTGTCATGTTTTATTATTTTGTTTGATATCCTTTTAGTGCAATGCATGAAACTATAAAACAAAATAACAATTAAGAATTGTAAAAATTCTGCAATGATAGTGCAAAGAGATATGAGTCAGGCCCGCGCAAAAGTTCCTCACTTTATTTCTGGTCGCTGGAAGGGAAGGACATACATTTTGTTGGCATCAACCTGTGACCTATAATAATAAAAAAGAATATACTCTAGACATTCGATATTTCAAACTATGTTATGTTAAACAGTAGCTAAGTTTACAATATCACCATCAGTTTGCAAACATAAAGTGATTAGAAAATATTTTTGGCAAGAATCTGTGACTATATAGACTTTCTGTTCAACTTGGAAGTGTTTTTTTAATTGTATGATTTACTTTTGCAACAGCACTTTACACATTGAAGTTAATGTTTACAATTTATTACACCAATTGTTTTAAAGGGAACACCTGAAAATTCTTTCATATAGTTTCAATTGAAGTTTGAAATATCGGTGAACTCATCTCAAACCAGTCTAGCAGTCTAAGGAAAGGGCAACGAAAACGAATTAGGTTCGTATTTATGGCGCTGGCGCGAAGTACCTCACTAATTACTGTAAGTTAAAAAATGTTTCCTTATTTTTGATTGATCATGATATTCCAGATTCCTACTGAGGAGGACATCTTGGAAGTTCAAGACGAGATTACTCAGTCTTTTGAATACCTGGAGGAGGAGACATATTCAGGTTAACTCTAAACTCTAAACAAAGGACAACAGTACATTTAAAACCTTTATCTGATCTATAATATGAAAGATAATGTCGTTTTTCTGGATTTTAAAGTGTTTAATTCTGATAATTTGTTTAAGTATTGCTTGGGTAGAAATCACTTTTGCAGAGAAAATAATCAGTTTTAAGATTATAAACAGATCAGACAAAGCTTTTAAGGGTACTGTTGTGAGTTGGTCAATGCCATCTTTAGATGGAGGGTTATATGGGAAAACCCATACCAGTGCAGGGAAAAGATCCAATTGAGTGAGTTATGATCAGATTTGAAATACAAAATTTGTACATGATTCTAATAATTACATTTGTATAGGACATAATAAGAAAGAAGAATTTAGTCCTGCTAACAAGTTTTTATCAATAATCCCAGAAGAATCTAAGAGCATTACAGAACATGGAAACTCTAGTCCTACCACTCACAATCATAAAGACGCAATGGGTAATGTTAAAAACATGCCTAGCAATCAACAAATAGAGTTTGTAGAATCATCAAACAGCAATATGAACCATGAGGAGTTAAAGAAACTGGGTGTTGAAATTCCAAAAAACGAAAGACCTTCTGAAAACAAAAGAAAAACTGAAGAACATAGATCAGCTGAGAGCAGAAAACATGCTGAGGGAAAACAAAGCTCAAGGGAGAAGAGAAGTTCTAACAGTTCTGAATTAGAAAGGGTATCAAAAGATCGAAGTAACCCTAAAAACCATGAAGGTGAAAGAAATTCCGAGGATGAAAGAATTGCTGGAAGTCAGAGACACCCCATTCGAAAAACAAGCCATGAAGAAAAAGTTTGTACAGAAAGTCAAAGACGGTCTAATGGAAAAACAAGTCCTGCAGAAAAAAGTCGTCCAGGAAGTCAAAGCAGCAAACATCGCCATACAAGTTCTGAAGGTAGAGAAAGTTCTAAAAGCAGAAAAAAATCAGAGATTAGAAGTAGCCCTGAAACTAGAAAAAGATCTGATAGACACAAAAGTTCTGTTGGGTTTGGTCTAGAGAACCTGGAACGTCAAGTAATTATCAAAGATGATGAAGTGTCTGGGGTAAAATATAAAAATAACAATGAAATTATCACATCCAATACCACTTCACCAACTCACTTGGAATCCTCCAGGACTATCCGAGAATCATTATCACCGTCTAGAAAAGTCTTCCCGTCAGTTCCAAAGCAGTTACCTCAGCCTATATTGGTTGGTAAGCATGTAAAGAACGCAGTAGCAGTTGGTAAAACAAGTTTTGCTGAAAGGGTGCGCTTGTTCCAATCTCTTACTGGTAGAACTGATACACCTGGGAATGATGAAGGACATACTGATGGAGAGATAAAAGCATGGGGATCTCCAATCAGAGCTCACTCAGCTCAGACAACTTGGAAAGAACAAGCTCTACTCAAAAGTGATTCATCAGGTAATATTTAAGAAATAAGTAAGATTAAAGGGACTGTAAGCGTTATTTAAAGTGACCTTTTTTTCACAATGATACCCTTGAAATCTTTGACTGATCAAGTATGACAGACTTTCCCTTTTTATCTACAGAAATGCTTGTAAATGTTGAAAACTTAAATTACTAGCTGTTTAAATTTAAGAAATATTAATATTTACTTTCTAGAAGTGGCTTTCTAGGAATAAATGTGACGTCATCTGTGTTGAATTCACACAGTAAACTTATATACTTGAAATTACGCTTACAGTCCTATTAAGAACTTTTTTAAACGTAAATATTCTTAAGGGCGAAGTTCTATCAGTTCTGGTAGCTCAAGGAGTACTCACAGTAGTGGTAGCACTATTGTTTATAATATGAACAGTACAGCTTCAACAGCCAGCAACTCAACTGCATTCTACGCAGTTAACCCTGATTCAGGAACCTCATCAGTTACCTATTCTACAACAGGAAACTCTGGTCGACAATTAATCAATGATAAATTTCAAGGTCTGTCATAAAATGATTTCCAAACGATTTTTTTACAATAAATTGCAATGTTGACAATAAAATGCAAGGTATAAAAGAATTCTAACATTTTACTGACTTTCTGTGCTGGTACACCATATGACGATAAAATTCTTACCAAATTTAATTATTGTTTTAACAAATTGCACAATGCACGTACATTTAATATAATTATTGAATTTGTTAAATTGTTAAATGGCGTTCTTCGCATTTTTTTTCTCTTAATTAAATAAAAAGAAAGCTTTATTTAGATTTATTAAATGTTTAGGATATTCCAAAAGTAAAAGAATTGAAGAAAGTGTAGAAAAAAGAGATGTACACAAAATGAATAGAAAACATAAATCTGAAAGGTAAAAACTGCAGATTCATTCTCATCACACTCAACTCATGTACATTTGATTCTGAGCTGAACCGCCCTTAACGGTCCTTATAGTTTGTACTACCACACCCGGTACACCAACTACACTGGCAGCCGTACAGCCTAGCTGTGGTCAATATAGTTGGTCTAGCTTTGTAGACAGAGCTAGCTGGTCCAACTAGGTTGACGTGGTCTGACTTTAGACTGCATCTATAGATAAATAAATAAACATAGATAGCTTATGTACGCAAAATCACTAAGAATTGTACAGTCCGCGAACTCATACTTCTAGGGGTCAAAGTGTACTTCAATGATAAGCGGGGTGGTTTGGGGTTTTAATGGATTTCATAATAGAGTGTAAAATAACTCCGGGAATGGAACTATTTGAACAACAATATTTCACTGAGCAATATATCATATTGACGAGAACTGAAGAAGGACATGAAAAGGACTAAACTAACTTAAATTTCTCTCTACAGAACTCATGTACACCACAAGTACTCAATGAAATAAGAACAGCCAATGTTCACAACCGACCTAGTTAATCTATATAATATGAATACCTTTAAAACATATCTGTACATTTATATCTTTCAAGATGAAAAATGTCTTCTTATGCTAAATCTATCTTTATCTATGACTGCATCCGGTTAAATTTATAACCACTAAAAGCGGCAATTTTGCTTTTCACCGTTATATATGTAAAGTGGCATTTTTGAGTGATGATTAATCCAAGAATATCCGTTTACTAATAAAGATTAAAAAGAATAGAATCAATATTGTTTTCAGGTTGGAACAAGTAGCAGAGGATGATGATAATGAGAATGAGATTTATGATGATTACGGAGATATCAACGGTAGTAAAACAGTTGTAGAAGCTGAAATCCATTCTTACAGACATGGAACTAGTACTAGCAATTACTCCTATACAAGGGTAAGTGTCAGTACAAAGTAATGGCAAAAGAAAGTACAGATTTTAAATTGTTAATTAATCAAACCATTAAATGGACTGTAAACGTAATTTCAAGTTACCCTACAGGCAAAGATGTCAATGTCCGATTCACAACAGTATCCTTGAAACCTTTATCTGGTCAATAATATGTAAGATTTTTTTCTTTTGTATTTCAAAATGTTTTACTCGGATAATTCCTTCCTTTATCTTTTCCTGCAGTGGAAATGCGCGAGTCTCTTTTGGAGAAAACTCTAAATTAAAATAATTCTGTTTTCAACTCTGATATCTAGTTCATGATTGATCATACAAGGCTTTTCAGGGTACGTTTGTAAATCGAGCATGACAATCCTTGTATGAAGAGTCACTTGAATCTACGCTTACAGACCCTTTAATGCGTATTTTTATGATAAAATGGTTTGAAAATCATTTCTTGTTCAGGATTCCAGTATATACAGTGTTGGGAATAGTTCTGACTACTGCGCATGCTCGGATTGTCCTGAATGTAGTTACCAAACCAAATCCTTCAGAACAAGGTAGATTACAATCACTTTGAAGAGAACTTTTACTTTACAATTGGTTCTCAAGACCAAGGGATGGATGTTTTGTTGGCAAAATTGGAACTCATGGTTAAGTAACATTTTTGATTTTCCAAAAAAGTAGTTGTGCACAGTTTTATCGTCTTTTGTGATGAAAATGTGCATTATTTGTAACAAAAATTTTGCAGAGCGGGAGGTTATAAATTTTACCGTCTTTTGACCAACATTATCGACCCATAACTACCCCAACAGAGGGAGGTTAAGTTATTTTACGCCCCTTCGGACAATTAAGTAAAATAACCACCCACACTAAAAAAAATTCGCACATTTTAATCTCAAAAGACGATAAAATTGTGTACAACTACTTATTCGGGAAATTAAAAGTTTTACTTAACCACGGGTTCCCTCGACCAATTTTGCCAACAAAACATCCCTCGCTTGGTTCTGGATATTTTGTAAACACAATTGGTCTTGGGAACTCTTGGTAAAGTAAAATTACCCTTAACTTTCCTGTAAAGAAGTTTAAATAATCAATTTACTTATTATCCCAATTATTAAGTTACTATATAACCTCCCTCTGTTGGGGGAATCATAGATTGATAATATTGGTCAAAAGGCAGTTAAAAAGAATATTTGTTTTTCATTCTAATTTATTTTTTAGTTATAGTAAAATTAATAAATATATTCAGTGACATGGTGGGAATCGATAGTTATGAAAACAACAACAACAGTAACCATAACAACAACAACAGTAACCATAACAACAACAGTAACCATAACAACAACAATATGGACAACAGAAATCAGAAAAACAACAAAAACAAGGTAACAATCAGAAATGATTAAATAAAAAGGAGTCTTTACCACAAATTCTGATTTTTAAATCCCTTTATCTTTGCAACACATTGTCGCAAACCTTAAATATTCCAAAATATGAATTCTGTTCTTACAAATTATCTTAGTTTGAAATATTAAAGATTTATACCTTCAGGTTGCAATGATATAGGGATTGCAAAATTAGAGTTTGTGACAAAGGCTCAATTCCTTTAACTTTTCATGGTTTAAAAATGTTTTTATTTAGAAAATTGAAGAAGACAAGGATGAATCTCCTCCTTTACCCCACCCCAGACAATCCCCTAGGGGGGATGAACAACTCCAAAACTCAATCCCGCCACCGTTACCTCCCAAGTCAAGATCACCTAGGGGCAACACACAACAATCCACATCCTCCTCGGGCAATGTCCAGGCCAGTTCTATTGTCCTTGTTGGGAATTTAAGGTAAAAGTTAAAAATTATATTTTCAATATTTCTTAGCATTCTTTTAAAAGGACTTTAAGCTTAATTTCAAGAGATCCCCTGTTCACAATGGTACTCTTAAATGCCTTCATTTAAAATTCAGTGATGGTGATGGACCAAACCTCTGTAGAGTAAAAAAGTAGATGTTAGTTCCACATTTATTGAAAATATATTTCGGTCTGGGTTGACCCTCGTCAGTTCTTGAGATTGTTTCTTCACAAAGATTAAAAACAATTTGATCAAGCTTGAATTAGGTATTAAAGTTTCTAATTTTATAAACTGATTATTTTCAATTGTGGTTTTTCTGTAAAAGTGACTTGCGCATTTCTTCTGCAGAAAAACAGATATGAATTATTGGATTTAAACATTTTTAAGCTTAGAGAAACGACCACATCTTCCACATAATTTATCAGATACAAGTTTAAAGATACCCATTGTGAATCAGACATTGTCATTTTTGCTTGAAGGATCACTTAAAATTACGCTCACATTCTCTTTAAAATTTCAAATTATAAATTTAGCAATATTTATAGTCTTAATATCTTCACTGTAATAAATCTTCTAGAGCCAAAAGCCGTTCGGCTGAGGCGAGCTTAAATATTGAGAAGAGAAGAGAAAAGAATGGAGTTATTATTGATGATGAAGATGATATAAGTTCCCCTGAGGCTCCTCTCAAAGAAAGAATCTATGAAGAAAAAGTGGAGGATAGAAAGAGCAGAGTAAAGAAAAAATCTGCAAATTCCTCCAAAAGGTAAAGTCCTCATATTTTTGCTTTTCCCTTGCCTCTTAATGTTTTTGATAAAGTTATAACTTTAAAATTGTTCAGGCGGGTTGCCAGATCCCAGTTTAGAACTGTAACACCTGAACCTGAGGATTCTATAGATGAGTCCAGGGAGTATATTCAGGAACCTAGATGGAGGGAACATAAGGAATTCACAACAGAAGAAGAAGATTACTATTCAGAGGATCAACTCCTTACCACCAGGGATCATCTTCAGGAAGAGATGGGAAATCTAACAGTACAGATTCTTAAATCAGGCAACTCTGAGATGGGTGACTCTGGGATAAGTTCTAATCCAGCAAGTATATCAACACCTGGAATGAGTCCAAAATCTGACTCTTTGGAGGAAACTAAAGCTCAAGATGTGGCGGATAAAATCATTCCACCAGGTAAGAAGAGGGACACCATGCTGCGGGAATTGAAGTCTAAACTAAAAGAAAGATTTCCATCAAATGGATTGTCAAGTCCTCCAGCAGCCAGTAGGCACAGTGAGCCTAGTCAGCAATTTATACAAGAGAAACATGCAGAAGTAGGACCTAAACTTTCCAAACTATTTACTGATAGAACAATAGATCCTAAATCTAAAGCTCCGATGGATCCGTATGGAAGTATGCGAAAGACTCGTCTAATTGGCGAGCGTGAAGAGTGGGAAGAGTCAAAGATGGAATTCTTGCAGAAACGAGCATCCTTGAGGAGGGTGAGCAAAGGAGGAGAGTCCAGTGCATCTAGCCACCTTGAAACTGTGGAGGAGTCGGATACATGTGACTGTGAAAGCTCCTGCTACAACTCTGGTAAGATATCAACCTTACAAATTATATCCGCAAGACTATAATAGAAACAGATTCTTTAGGACCTCATAAAATCAAAGTTTTTCATAAATTATTTGTAGAAAAATCAATTTTCATAAGAATTTTCTTTTAGAGTACGATAGAGAGTTTCTTACGCCACCAAATCCACCTCCAACGGCTGCCAGTAATAGATACAGTTGTACACCAGATCAAGGACAAAGATCACCAGATAGAAGATATAATAGATCAACAGAACAGAGACACAATGAATCACAAGACCAGAGGCATAATAGATCACCAGAACAGAGACATGATGGTTCACCAGAACGAAGGCGAAATCAATCGCCACAGCAAAAATATACAAGATCACCAGATCGGCGACATAAGGGATCACCCGCAGGTAGATATACAAGATCACCAGACCGGCGACATAATGGATCAGCAGAAGAAAGATATACAAGATCACCAGACCGGCGGCATAATGGATCACCAGAAGGAAGATATACAAGATCACCAGACAGGCAACTTAATGGATCACCAGAAGAAAGATATACAAGATCACCAGACCGGCGACATAATGGAGCACCCGAAGGTAGATATACAAGATCACCAGACAGGCAACATAATGGATCACCAGAAGAAAGATATACAAGATCACCAGACCGGCGACATAATGGATCACCAGAACGGCAAATTAATGGATCACCAGACCAACGAAATAATGGATCACCAGATCAAAGATACTCAAGTTCCCCAAATCACCCTCCTACAAGTCCTTCACTGAAGAACAATGAGAGGCCTACATCTTCCAAATCCCAGGTTTATGCAAATAAAATAAGATTACTAACTTTTTGGCTGCAAAATAATTTTTTTTTAAAGAAAATAAAGTTCCAAACATGCTACAATAACTAGTCAGTTATTTTTTAAGTCAAACACAGAAATGTAACAAATTTGGTGCCAAAAATGTTAAACATTTCAAAAATCATTTGCAATGTCAACAATAATCATGGATTTTTCTATAATGGTTGATAATTTTAAATTCGTAGTATTTCATAATATTTTACATAAAATAGGATTAATTTAATATTTTTTCAGATAAGTGATGTTTCAAAACTAAGCTTGAGCGAGAAAAGAGAGCTAGTTTATGGTCCAGGAGGGATTTTTGGATCCTCAGGACCCTTCAGTACTCCTGGAGTATCTAGATATCCTGAACCTACTAAACCCAGGAGTAAACATGATCAGGGGTATACAGGTAAACTACAATACTCCTGGAGTATCTAGATATCCTAAACCTACTAAACCCAGGAGTAAACATGATCAGGGGTATACAGGTAAACTACAGTACTCCTGGAGTATCTAGATATCCTGAACCTACTAAACCCAGAAGTAAACATGATCAGGGGTATACAGGTAAACTACAGTACTCCGGGAGTATATAGATATCCTGAACCTACTAAACCTAGGAGTAAACATGAACATGGGTATACAGGTAAACTACAGTACTCCGGGAGTATATAGATATCCTGAACCTACTAAACCTAGGAGTAAACATGAACATGGGTATACAGGTAAACTACAGTACTCCGGGAGTATATAGATATCCTGAACCTACTAAACCCAGGAAAAACATGATCAGGGGTTTACAGGTAAACTACAGTACTCCGGGAGTATACATAGATATCCTAAACCTACTGAACCTAGGAGTAAATATGGTTACGGGTGTACAGGTCAACTCCAGCACTCCAGTACCTTATAACCATATGGGAGAAAACATGATCGGAAGGGTAACCTGCAGTACTCCGGGGGGTTCCTATACAAATTTACTTTTTAACACTATAGGAGAAAACATGATCGGAAGGGTAACCTGCAGTACTCCGTGGGGTTCCTATACAAATAAAACCTGTACTTGAATTTTCAAAAAGGAAAACAAGGATACATTAATTATAAAGGGGTCACATAAGTTACTCTTTAAGAAATAAAATTATAAAATAAAATAATTTATTTGCAGAGGATGCTTCCCTGACCTCCTGTAGATCTATCAGTACTGTAACAGCTACCAGTGATTCCGCTATGTTTGCAGAAGATAGATCAGATAAATCACAATATGTAGCAAACACTGTTATAAAGGTAAACACATGTTTCATATCAAGGATTTAGGTTTTTGCCGCCAATTCTCTAAATCTTTGCGACTTAATACTTTAGACCTTCAATATTTCAAATTATGAATTCTCTTAAATACATTAAATCATCTAAGTTTGAAACACCAAAGGTTTACACAATCAGATTTCAAAGATATAGAGATGAGCAAATTTAAAATGTGTGGGAATTCTTTTAAGCTTATTTTTTTACATCAAAACTTACTTAAAAATCTTGCTTTAGAAAAATCAAATTGTTTAAATTTTCTTCATTTATTCTAAATATTATTTAGGCTGCTAGCCCAACATCCCCTCCACCAAAATCCGGGAAATCCTCTGATCCTCATTCATCTAGTCGGCTAGAAAACTACAGGGCAGAAGGGTGGATTCAAGAGAAGCAACTTCGCATGATGAGCTGGATCACAAGAACCCAGCAGACTAGATAGTTAGCAAAAACAGACAATAAATGTTTCTGCTCAGCAGGCTAAGTAGTTAGATTTACATACAATAGATGTCTCTGAGAAGCTGGATCTAGAACCCAGCAGGCTAGATAGTTAGATAAAAATACAATATATGTCTCTGAGAAGCTGGATCAATAGAACCCAGTAGGCTGAGTAGTTAGATTAACTTACAATAGATGTCTCTGAGAAGCTGGATCAAGAACCCAGCAGACTAGATATTTAGATAAACGTACAATAGATGTCTCTAAGAAGCTGTATCACAAGAACTCATCAGGCTAGATAGTTAGATAAACATACAATAGATGTCTCTGAGAAGCTGGATCACTAGAATCCAGCAGACTAGATAGAATTAAAATCAGAATCAGTCGAAACTGAAAGCAGTTGTACGATGAGAATTAAAGACAACTTTTACATCATGTTCTGACAAAAACATTTTAAATACAAAACTGTCTCCTTTAAGATATTGAAAGAACCATGAAAAATTCAGAATTATTTTTTTGATTGTTTTTAAAAATAGTTAAAATTTGTTTAAATCGTAAGCAATCTTTTCATCGTCGTTACAAAAATAATGGGTTGATTTGGAAACATTGATCCTTAACGCTCTTTTTAAGAACAATAGCTGATGTTTTTCAGATACAGGGTTACCCACAAAAGATAAGACTTCAAAGACGACTGTACATAATTTGTATTGTATGTTTTCTTTTATTTCTGATGTCCTGCAACTGTAAACTTGTTTCTTATTCAGCCAAAACAGAAAATAGGCCTTTTAAAAACCAAAACTTCTTTGTGGGCAATCATGTGTAATACAAATTTAACTTTAGAATGTATTTGCTTAAAATGAAAGGTTGTTTCAAGTTACAAAATTGGTTCTCAACATAGAAAAAATAGATCGATAAATGTAAGAATTTGTTTCTAATATTAAAAAGTATCAACCCTTTATACTGAGTATATAGTGGTAACACAACAGTTACCGAGCATGCACCTCTGACCCTTCAGTAAAAGTAAATTCAATCTAAAGTCTGACCGCGTCAACCTTGTTGCTCAGGCTAGTCCTATTGAGTGTCTGCTTTATTTACTGAATGTGCGATACAGTACTAACTGGGACTGGAAAGATTGACCCGGCTCGGAAATTTAAATGTACTACGGCTGCCCGTGCGTGTTTAATATTGCTAGTGTAAGTTTTTATCATTCTATGTCATTTATAATATTTTGAATTTATTTTCAAAATATTAAGTTTATACTAACCTACACTTATAGGATAATGTGATTGTTGTTTTATATGTTGTGTTTTGGAAACGTGCAATATTGAAATGAAATGTATTTCAAAATAATTTAGCCAAAAAGTGTGTGCAATATATACAGTAAATTTGTTTCTTTTATTGAAATAAAATATTTATTTTAATTAAACATTGTGATTTGTGAACAATTTGTGATATATTTAAACTATCGAAACATGACAAAACATTTAGTGTTCATATATAACCTTGCAGTGTTAGATATTTTTAATACCCCCTCCCCCCTTTCTGGGGTATTAATTTTCTAGGTAAATAAAAAATAGTTTAATTTTTTTACAACATTTTTTCCCCCGTTTTTGCAAGAAAACTTTATTTGTATTTTTAATTTGAGAGCTAAATCTGAATATCCGTTGTAGACAGTTTTGATTTCTGCTTAATCCGCTTTTTTTCTCTCATCTTTGTTCCGACCTTTGTTTCTTCAAACGTCCCTCTGATTGGTTGAATTTTATACACTTTTCTGGATAAAGATTAAGTTAAGATTAGTACCATTATTCGTCATTTTTTTTTGAATAAAATTTATTATTTATCAACATTTGAAGAATCAAACTACTAAGTTGAATTTGGCTTTGGTACCAACATTATTTGTCTTATAAATAGTTGACAGTTCTTAGAGTGTTTACCAAATTTCTTAATGTATCATACAAATACATATATTTTAGGCACTAACAGATTAATTTTTAGATGGTGTATTTAAAGAAATAGCAATCGTAACAACCTAATACTAAAAAAATGTCCATTAGAAAAAATATGGTTTTTATTGTAATTAATCAAAAATTTGATTATAACATTGTTAATTAAATATGAAATATTACTTTAAATATAAACAAAGATATATAGTCTATAGATACATGTTTAAAAGTTTGAATCAAAAGCAAATTATTCTGATAATACTGACAATTAAACTGGCAGTCGTTCAATAATATATTTGTAAAGGACTTGAGTCTTTGTCACAAACTCAAATTTTCTAATCCTTATATCTTAGCAACTTGATTGTGCAACCCTTTGATATTTCAAACTTAGATTATTTGATCTACCAAAATTCATATTTTGAAATATTTACAAGGTCTTCGGCAGGGGGTTGCAAATATATAGGGATTAGAAAGTTTGAGTTTGTGGCAAAGACTCAATTCTTTTAGCTTGTCTGTCTGTAAAAATAAACTTTTTATTGTTTTTGTTTTAAACTGTGCAAAGAGAAGATGCTCACAGATAACGTGCACAATTAAATTCTGAAATAGAAGATGGGCGCGAAGCACCCTAAAAGTCTAGTAAACAATATATATAGAAACATTAAAGAAAAGGATAACACTGGCCTCAACTCAAACTCTAGTTTTTAATCCCTATATGTTTACACCCTGATACACCTTTGATACTCATCAGCAGAATTTATAGAATTCACAGAATCAAGGGTCTCTACCAGGGAGTAAGGAATAGAAGGGAGATATAAATGACGCGGTTCGCCCTACCATATGATTATGCGTGCTTTGCAGACGGGTTCTCCATTTGTATATGAAATATTCAGAATAGGTTATTGCATACGCAGCAAATGTATATCAGACAAATATCTCTTATATAAATGGAGTACTCGTCTGCAAAGCATGTATAATCATATGGTAGGGCGAACCGCGTCAGTTATATCTCCCTTCTATTCCTTACTCCCTGGTCTACGAGGTACACTTCTGAGGTTGGATATAATATTATGGAGAGATTAAAAAAACTGCCAAGACGACATTTTATAAACTCTTTTGATGCCTTCAAAGTTGTGGTTTAGCTGTACCACAAAAGTTCTGATTTTAAATTTTCATGATATAAGAGTTTAATTGGTAATCACTTCCTTCTATATAAATTTAAACCCATATGTATAATGATAATAATAATGATATTGATGATTACTATTCAGTGCCACTAGCAGATGAAGATGTGTATCCATTTGCAAGCTCTCTTTCCTTCAAATACAAAAAAAAATATTTTTTTTATCAGATATTTGTATTTTACTTAGAAATGGTGGTTCAAATTTGAACCGGCAGTATAGATAGTTCAGCCACAGTGCTTAAATTCACAAAACTCGGTGACAAAAACGAAATCTTAACTTAACCAAAAAATGTATTAACAAAGTAAAGTTTAGAGGCCACCGTTCACCTCAGCTATAATTAGGTTTTAAAGAAATAAAGTAATTCAGTCTTTGTCACAAACTTAAACTTTCTAATTCCATCATCTTTGCAACCTGATGCAACTTTGATATTTCAAACTTAGATTATTTGACGGCACTGGGTTGCAATGATATATGAATTAGAAAATCAGAGTTTGTAGCAAAGGCTGAATTCCTTAACAAAAATCTAGTAAATATATATATATATATATATATATATAGTATATATATATATATATAGTAAATATATGGGTTTTTCATGAAATTACTAAAATTATTTTGGGTCAATATCGTTTTATCTTATATTCTCTTTATTGACCATGAAATTGTTTAGGGCTCTATAGAGCACCTTTTTACGTATCTGTAAAAACATGATGTATATAATATTGATTATTAATACTGTACCTCTCTATTGGTTTCATCCCCGCTAGTCTCATCAACACTTGTCCTCGTCTTATTATTGTTAGACCCAGAAACTTTTACTCCTAAAATTATTTTGCTCTTGCCTTAAAAAGTCCGTAATAAATACAGTGATGAACCATCTTGGAAACCTGAACGTACCTGTATATATTATATATTACATTATAACAACCTGACCGTATTATCGGTCAGTTTAATCTTAATCTGGACATTATTGAAAATATAGTTAGTTGAATTTGAAAACTGTTTCAATGCGGTCAGACGTATTAGCTCTCGGTAGCGAGTACAGAGTTTGAGAGAGTTGTATCTGGATTGATGCATACTTGAGAATACAGAGAGAGTTGTATCTGGATTGATGCATACNTCTCATGTTCAATCTGGATTGATGCATACTTGAGAATACAGAGAGAGTTGTATCTGGATTGATACATACTTGAATGAATCCTCAAATGCAATTACATTGATAATTTTATATCTCTAAGTTCAATGGTCATTGGCAGAGAGGATAAAAATTACAACAAAAGTAAGTCATAAAAATGTCAAAAATAGCGTAATTTAATGTCAATTATTAATGACTGGTGTTTTTTTCTCGTTTTTTATGGGTTTTTAAATATGTAAAGTTTAGATTCTTACCTCATTTTTCAGATTTAAAAATGAAAGTGCTAGGGTAAAAAAGTGAATATAAAGTGTCTACATATAAATATTGATACCTGAACTAAATGATTTGTTAGATATGTCTTCAGTGATGTTAATGCCAGCCCCTTTCAGTAACTTCCCCTGTCGTAGAATGTTTTCTTTATCCTAAAATGTATTAATAATTGCTTCAATTTTCAAAAGCGTTTTTCCTTTTTTATGGAAATATTTGTATCCACAGTTTAATATTTTCAAAAAATTATAATTTTTTATCAATTATAATTTTTAATAATTTATAATAATTTATAAACTTTTTATAATATTGTCCCAAGTTTTTTTGTTCTACGTGAATCTTTAATTGATTTATAAGTTGTAAAGAATATAAAAGTTTTTAGTACAATGAACACGCATCCAACAATAATACAAGAATTTTTTATATTTGAGATAAGAAATATATTAAACTAGCTGAAGTGCCCGGCGTTGTCCGTGGGCTTTAAAAACACTTTGGAAAAAAGAAAAACAAAGGAATTGAGTCTTTGCCACAAACTCTGATTTTCTAATCTCTAAATCTTTACAATCAATTATCGCAGACCCTAGATATTTCAAACAATGAATTCAGTTTGATCATATATAACATATATAACCTAAATTTAAAATGTTAATGGGTTTTGCCATCAGGTTAAAAATATTAAAAAGTCAGAGTTTGTGGCAAAGACTCAGTTACAAAAATATTTAGATTAGAGATTTTTATGAGCAAAAAACGTTACTTTTTCGAACTGACATTTAAAAATGTTCAACGATAAATGTAAAACCATTCTAAGAGCTAAAGAAAGATGGTTTTTAAATGTTTTTATACATTTTTTTTATTTTTTTTAAACTCACTTTCCAATTTGCAAAGCAGGCGACAATAGGTTGGACACCATTAACTGGCCTTGCACTATGTATCCTGGCAACCTGATAAATAAAATGAATTCAAAATTTAATGTTATTCCGTGCTTTTGCTTTTAATTTCACGATCATTGGTATGAAAGATTCCATATTTGTTTCGAGACACTTTAAGGTGACTTTTTAATAGGGCTAATTCGGCTTTTCTTGTAGTTTCATGGATTTCCTTTAGTATTTTCGTGGGCTTTTCAAAATATAATTAAAATTGAAATATTTATAAATTGAATCAAAGAATGCAACTGGGCGAATTCTCTTATTCTTATTCTTATTCTTGTCTAATTTAGGATTGAAAAAAAATTATTTCAAAAAAAATTTACTTCCACGATGGAATTCATAAAATGTTAGGCAAAAAAAAAGCATTTGCATGTATCAAAGGTTCTAATTAATATTAAGGACCAATAAAGTTTTTCGAGACTTCTCAAGGTTCCCTCCTTACCTGATGGAAAGGGATGTCCCTTGATATTTTAAGATGTTCCCTCAGGATCCCCTTGATCCTGGTTTCAAGGATATCTCGACAAAAGTCGGGCTCAGACATCATATCAATCTCAAAATAGAGTTTAATACAATCTTGAAATCACAGAAATACTTTTTTAAACCTTGAAAAAGGTAAAATCAACAAAGAAATTAAATATTTGAAACAAACTCAAAACTGTTAATCTTAATAATATTAACTAGCTGAAGGGCCCAGCGTTGCCCGTGGAAAAAAAAATAAAAAAAATAAAATTCTTTTTTTTGAATTTTTGTTTAGCCTATAACACCCCGGGGGCCCCCCGGCCACCCATGAGTGTTCACAAGAAAAATCAGCCCAATCGGTCCAGTCGTTTGGCCGGCTATACGCAACATATATATAAATACGAATGTTTTGTTTTATTATATAGATACAAGTTGGCAAGATTAGAACAGCAGAGTTTATGGCAAGTGAGATATTGATTTTTTTATTATTTTTGTTTAATTATCTTTTGCTTGATTAAACAAGTTGGATTCTTGACTTATCTTATGCAAAAGTTAGCAATCAATAATTCTAAAAACAAATGCGCGCTTCTTTGTTAAAAAATTACAAATAAATGATTTCTTTATGTAATTATGTTACCTCCAGCGGGTCTGGAGCTATCCCGTAGAAGACTAGATTGTTCTTCTGCTGCTGAGATGTTATACTTCCTAAATAATTAGGGTTTATAAACTTTTAGAACAATGACTTTCACGGAAATCACCGAAACGCGAAAACTCATTTTGCCAAGCATTTAAAAACCAGCTTAGTGAATTTTTTTTGAAAAAACAAAATGTTTTTTGGAAATTTTCTTATTGTGAGTAGAGAAGGATTTACCTTGCAAAAATTACAAAAAAATTAAGAAAGCAAAATAATGGCATAACAGCCCAATTGTGTATAGAATGTTGTTCAACATTTAAATCATTAAAATATTTTTTATTTAAAATAATGGGTGTTTAATAATTTGTTTGTCGATAAAGAAATGACATTTTGTCTCTGGAAAGATGTTTAACATAAATATAAATAAACATAAAGCCTATGTGTATGATGTGTCTTGTGTTTTATGTGAATTATATGATCTCAAAGGCCGTGAAAATTGAATTTTTTCCATTTTATACAGAAAAGAGAAATAGAAAATTGAATTTGGAGGCTATAACGTCGAATACTTTAAACACGTAAAACTAAAGTACATTTCACGTAAGATTGGACTTTTACATGTTTTTTATAACTCCTCTTTTTTAACTTTAATAATTTATTTTATTTAAATTTTACAATATTTTTAAATATTTATATGATATCAGATTGAAATATTTGAGATTTCTTTATTTCTTGTTCTTCATTTTTTTTTTCTTGTTGGTCCATCCTTCAATCATAATTTGGCTAATTTTGAAAATAAAAAGAAGGAATTTTGTTGGATGTCCTTGTAGTTTGCCGTGTTACAAGTAAGAACTATTTTTGAATGATCTTGCTTTTTTTCTGAGCCATCAATTTGAAATTGCTGAATATCTTGCTTTCTTTTTTCTGAACTCTGTATACTCTTGCATCTTAATTTTTTTCTGAACTCTGGATTGAATCTTTTTTATCTGGTCACACATCTGTTTTCTGTTCCTCTCTTTTAGATTTCATAACACACTGCTGAACCAGTAATTAGACCTGTTTTTACAGTGAAAATAGTAAAACTATTAATTTATTCAAAGTAAACCAGTACTTATGTTTCAATTAGATTAATATTTCAATACTAAAATATCTTTAATTTTTCCGCATTTCCCGTTAAAAGTTTGTTTTCAATAAAATCTCAACAAAAAGTAATATTATTTGGTAATTTATTTCTAAATGTCAAAGCTTTTCAACAATATAATAATAAATGTCTAGCAAATATTAATATTTTGCTAGGAATTTAAAAGTTTTAAAAAATTCAAATATAAATCAAATATAAGTCTTTTTCCTAATTCACCGTTCATGATTCTTCTATATATATACAATTTGCTTGTCTGCGAGTGCATGGCTTCTTTATATAAACAATAAACGTCAAAACGCCTCAGACCGGGCCTAAGACCAGGCCCAAAATTGGTTAGGAGCCCTGAATAAGCCGCAGATCAAAGCACAAATTAAAGGTTAAAATTTAAGTCTAGTACTGTAATACTTACCTAAGGCTAATTTAGCATCATTATAGATCGGCCGAAGCTGATCAACTGAACTCTGTAGTTTTAGCACATTGTTGTCAATACCTTCTAAATATAGAATAAAAGTTAAATGGATAGTTCACGATTTTCTGTGGGAGATAAAAAATATTGTTTATATAATTGAGAAAACTTTGACAATAAAAAATACAATGATAAACAGAAAACAATGGAATAAGAAGACGAAATTTTGTTAATATTTAAAATTGACATGATGTTCTTACACAGAATGAATGTTTTAATTAAAGACATTTATTAAATCACTTATGGGTCTCTTTACACTGCACAATTGTTGTCTCTCATGCTCATATGAATTTTAAAAGTTAAAACTTAATTCTAAAAGTCATCTTCGTAAAGAGTTTTCTGGTTATTACTGGTTTTCAGATTGAAACTAGAAACAAGAAAATTAAGTTTTTAATGTATATTTTAAATTAAGGCTACAATGATTTTTTTATGTTTTATACAAACGTGAATTTAAAAAAGCTGATAAATGTTAATTTATTTGTACCATATCACCCCCCCCCCACGGCCCACCTACCCCTAAACAATGGTTGCTTTATATATTTACCTAAAGTTACTTGGAGTAAAGCAATTTCGGACTCAAGTCTAAATAAGCAAAAATTAAATTATATTTTCCAGATACTAATTTTTCTATTTTGTTTAACCTTGAAATTTTATCCTGTTCTTTTCCTGTTGATGCTGTAGAAAGCGCTGAATCCCTTCTTGGATTATCCTGTAAAAAAAGAAAATTTAAACAGGGGTCAAAACTTTTGTACCATTTCATTGATTTTATTTTATTCATTTTTTTCAAAGACATTTTTAAACTTTTGATAGCAGATTCCCATTCAATCATTTGGACAAAATACTATTCAACTAAAAGTTTTCTTTTTTTGTAGTTAAAATTTTAAAAATAATTTTATGACTTTTTATTTTTAACAAACGTTCATTGAAAGATAATATTTTTATGTTAAAAAAATTATAACAAATTAAGTGTTTTTTTTGTAAAAAAAACTGCTTTATAACATACATGGTAACCCACAAAGCGTGAGTTTTCAGAGACGACTTTATGGAAAATATATTTTACCTTCACAATTTTCTTTAGGTGAAATTTGATTTTATTAAATTAGTTAATTTATCCATCTTATTCTATTTTCAAGGTCCAACCCCCGAATTAGATTTTATGATGATCATGTTTTAAATATTTCAGGTCGTTATTAAAGTGGTATTCTTTGATATTTACCCTGTAGACAAAATCATAATATTAAATAATACCTTTAACAAAAAAACTCTCAACACAATTCAAAAGTGTTTTTCTTTAAATCCATCTATAAACATACTTTGCTGTTGGTTTGTATCCAATAAACGTCCAAACGGCTGAATCGATCGGGCCCACATTTTTTGTGGGATCTCGCGTGACTCCATGAAGTTCATGGATGATCGAATTTTCAAAAATTTGTCTCTTACAAAATTCTGTTTAAAAATCCGCGAATTATTTTTTGTTTTTGTTTTTCAATGTATACAAAGAAAATAGGTTCACAATTGAAAAAGAAGATGGGCGCGAAGCGCCCTAAAAGCTTAGTTCTTTTAAAAAACGATAGAGAAACAAATATTTTAAAGATGAATAAAGTATTCTTTAACAAAAGAAACACTTTTAATTACGTTAACAGTTTCCTTTAAGTCTACGGTAGCACTGCAAGGAGTAACATTCACAACTTCTGATGGTTTTCGTTGAACAGATATACTTCGGCTTCGGCTAGATCGACGAGTCTAAAATAGGAAATATATTTTATTAGGAGAGAGGGGGCTGAATCTCCAAAACAGGAAATCTTGTTTTTCAAAAATCGCTTTTTGTGACAAAATAAAATAGTTTTAAAAATAGTCAGAATTTATTTTGAAACATTTTATACCTTAAGTAGTTGTAAAGGGTTAGGGCCAATTCTTAATTAATGTCTAATCCCTATAAAATGTAAACCCTTTCTTAGGGGTCATAATCTGAGTAAATATATGTTTATTTACATCATTGTACAATTCAACTAAAAGTATCCACAGCCAGGTGGGTTAAGTTATATAAGAATATGATATTTTGGTTTTAACGTTGGAATCAATTCCTTTCTAGTTTCGTCACCAAAGACTGTTTGACCCATAGTTGACAGAATATGTGGCTTTTCATCTGAATGGGTTAAAATAGAAAAACTGATATTACGGATAGAACATATTTTGACATACAGTGAGAACCAGAAAACTGTGGAAACGGAAGATGTAATTATTTAACAACAATTAAGAGTATTTGATGTTGTTACAAAACTAGTAGCATATTAAAACACTCATTTAGAGAAATGAGTTTATTTACACTGCAATACTGCTGTGTCTCATGTTCATTTGACGATTTAAAGTCATAACTTGAGTCTCAAGTCGTCTTCCTATTCCAGGGTTTCTAAAAGTATACCTGTAAAGAAACATCCTTTTTAGGACTTTTAGGGCCTGGGTTCTTCTCTACATCATTGGCCTTTTCTAGAGCCCTTCACCATAATCCAGATTTATTATAAAAAAAATTTCTCAAATAATCTTAACATTTTAAAGTAAAATAGCCATTCAATGGAATTATTACACGTGTAATTAGAGTAAAATTTAAATTTAGTTTTTTTTCAATCACAACTCATCTTATTGCAGAGTTATTAAGAAGAAACACAAATGTGTTAAAGGGATAAATTAGGACTAGATTCTTCGTCACAAACTTTGTAAACCTTTAATATTTAAAACTTAGATTATTTTATCTGACAGAATTTATAGTTTGAAATATCTAAAGTCTACACCATTGGGTTGCAAAGATATAAGGATCGGAAAATTAGAGTTTGTGGTAAAGACTCAATTCTTTTGGTTTTCTTATACTCGTGATTTTCTTATTTGCAAAATGCCAATTAAAACGTCTGACGAACCTTGGGTTTGTATTACTGCTTTGGCCTCTTTTGATTCCGCTTCTAAATTGTTTTGAAACCATTTTATCAATATCTACATCTTATCTTAACAAAATATCTAGATTGTTTATGGTTTACTTCACGTAAAACACAAGTAAATTACACGTAATATTAACCATTATTTTAAACCATATTGAGGAGATATTGAGAAGAATAAATAGGTTGTTTATGATGCATTTCACGTTAAACTCAAGTATATTACACGTGATCTTTACCTTTATTTTAAACCATATTAAGGAGATACTGAGAAGAATAAATAGGTTGTTTATAGTTCATTTCACGTTAAACTCAAGTAAATAACACGTGATATTCACCTTTATGTTAAACCATATTGAGGAGATATTGCGAAGAATGAACAGGTTGTTTATGGTTCATTTCACGTTAAACTCAAGTAAATAACACGTGATATTTACCTTTATATTAAACCATATTGAGGAGAATAAACATGTTTTAAACCTTTATTATATAATCATATAAATTTGCTTATCTCATATTTGGGCTTAAAAATTTAAGCAAGAGGAGCTACGATGTTACAATTCCGCACAAATTTGACCTTTTTCTGTTTATTGGAGTTTGATGTGTTAGAAAAATTTGCATATTGGTTTAAAAATCAATATGAACCATTTTTAAACATTTTCCCGACAATTCACAATACGGTCACATACATTTCATTAGAAGGGGATCATTCTGTATTTGTACTGTACAGCTTGTACAGATAGCTCCATGTGATTAACGGACGGCCCGGTACTTGAAATAAAAATGAGGTGTCTGAACATTTTCTGAGTAGGCCTTGACAAGTTGGACCAGTAATAAGTGTCCAGGTTTCAAGACTTTGCGCTAGGTCATGAAAATTTTGGAAAACACTCCGTCAGTCACTCACTCCCTTATTCTAAAGAACAAAATAAGATAAAGTTAATTTGTAAGTTTTAAATGAAAAAATGTTATTTCTGAATTGATCGTGTTTTTATTTTAAACAAATAGAAAACGTTGTAAAAATAAAACTCTCAAGGACCCTGCAGGTTTTCTAACGAATATGCGGACAATATCGGATCATTTAGCCCCTTATTTTAACCTTTAAAGTGACTGTAAACGTTATTATAAATCACCAACAATATTCTAGAGTTGAATCCTGGATTCACAATTTTACGCTTTACGCGTTTTTATGAGCCATGATAAGGGAAAATATGTAAATTGAGCCATAATAATGGAAAATATGTAAATTGAGCCAAAATAAGGGAAAATATGTAAATTGAGCCATAATAAGGGAAAATATGTAAATTGAGCCATAATAATGGAAAATATGTAAATTGAGCCAAAATAAGGGAAAATATGTAAATTGAGCAATAATAATGGAAAATATGTAAATTGAGCCAAAATAAGGGAAAATATGTAAATTGAGCCATAATAAGGAATAAGGGAAAATATGTAAATTGAGCCATAATAAGGGAAAATATGTAAATTGAGCCATAATAAGGGAAAATATGTCAGTTTTCTACCTTGACACATGTTGAATTCTGTCATTTTTCTATCCTAACACATGTTGAATTCTGTCAATTTTCTTGGCTCTTTTATGATATATAAATCCCTGAGTTACTTGTATGTTATAAATAAAAATTATCTATCTTTAGAAAATAAACAATATTTCAATTGATTGTCAATATTGACGTAATCTAAAGCGTTTTTTAAAAGATTTTCACAAATCGCTGTATCGTTTAAACCATTATCGATGTTAAAAATTATTGGATATCCTTGTTATTCATCTGAAACAAATTTCAATCGTGGCTCAAATTTTTTTGAGATAGAAAAAGATGGTATTTGAATAAAAAAGCTCCAAAAAAAATCTGTTTTGAATCGGCGATTTAACGCTAGAAATTGAGGGTCACTTGAAATTAGGCCAACATTCCCTTTAAAGGTTGAATATTAACCTATTTAGTATCCCTGACTCAAGTTATTTCTATTACTGATATTTAAGTCTGTCACATTGTGAAAATATTGATTTAATAAGTTTTGTCTTCGTAACTTCCAGGGTTACCAGGGATCAGGGCCTAAATAATGTAGACTATACAATCTACCACTTAACCAGGGGGGGGGGGTGATATTCACCTTTATGTTAAACCATATTGAGGAGATATTGCGAAGAATAAACAGGTTGTTTATGGTTCATTTCACGTTAAACTCAAGTAAATAACACGTGATATTTACCTTTATATTAAACCATATTGAGGAGATATTGCGAAGAATGAACAGGTTGTTTATGGTTCATTTCACGTTAAACTCAAGTAAATAACACGTGATATTNAAAGGGACTGTCAGTGTAATTTCATTAGCTCTGTTTTTTTTAATTAGTGAGTTGCATATTCACAACGATACCCATTTTATTATAACAATTTGGTTTATTTTGCCAGGCAAATTATAATTTTTTATTTTTAAAACATTAAAAAAATCTTTTCAATTTTGATTTAAAACAAAAATTTCTGCAGTTTAATCGAATAAAGTCCTTGTTATTATCAATCCTTTTTAAATTTCTTTTCTTATGTTTCAACCGAGAAAAAAAAACATATTTCAATTTTGGCGAAAAAATTTATGATTTGGTACTTAATTCATTTTCTGTAAATCAATCTATTCACAAATCAATCAGTCAATCACTAAAAATGCAAGTCTCTATTCTTAACCCTCTATAAATAAACGTTGCCTAAAAAAGTGTGCATGTACTTTGTCCTTGTAGTTGTGCTAAACAATAAAAAATTGGCAAATTCCCAACAAAAAATACTTGTCCTAACTTCAGGACTTTCTATAAACATTCAGTAGTTTCAGATCTCTCGTACTAGTGTACACTGTACTCTGCATACTCTTTACACAAGTGTAGACATGTAGTTTTCATTTCGGAAATAATGTGCTTCTCATGATGTTATATAATCAATTCATCATCAACATTTGTATTGCCTTATAAAAGCCTCTAAGTTGTCTAATAATGTCCTTTGATTTTTAACTTTTACACCCAGACAGCAGAGGAAGTTGGTACATTCGTGTTGATTTTTTTACCTTGAACGCTTGAGGCAGAGCTTGAAGAAGTTACGTGCGCATATTGCGTTGAATTACAAGACAGAGAGAGAGAGCCTGTTCTAACTCCGNTTGAGGTTCAATACGCAGCGCTCAGCCAAGAAAGTGTCTTTAACTGGTTTCTATCTTTTTGTAATTCAACGGGGCAGGTAACTTCCTTGGGCAACTTTCAACGCTTGATCTCTAAATGCCGTGTGGGTGCTTTTTTAATTCGATGAAAAATGCTTCATCACTTCCTTTTAGTTTTCCCTACTTGGTAAAAGACTCAAATAAACCTGCATCAGATGGAGATGTCCAACATCTCAAGCAAAAAATATAACAGTGTTTTGTCCACAACTAATTTAGACCTCAAACTAGAAACAAGTGTCTTGCATTTTTGACATGTCTATATTCATAACGGTCTAGGTAAAACAATGCAAGTCTTGAATTAGTTTGGGTTCTAGAAGGTGGTATGAGTCGTTTTTAACCCCTTTCTCCTCAGATTAGAAGTAAAATTAGTAGGAATCGATATCAAATTCAATCCATCATCAACCTATACCCACTTTTAGTTATCGTAAACACTCCCTTGATGTGTTACAAAACTAGTATTCCCAGTTAGATAATTGATTAAGGTGAACAATAAAATCCAAAATTTTTTTAATTTAATTCTTTTAATAATTTAATTTCGTACAATCGTTTTTTAAATATGAAGTCGCATCCTTTGTGGGTAACCCTTTGCATATACAATGATGCATTCAAACATTGCTCTTATTATCAAATCTTTTCGAGAACAAAATCACAAATTTTAAGTTTTAAAATGATTTTCTTGTAATGACATTTTCAAATGACATTTTTAGTTACTTCTTTCGTCGACGGTTTTCCAAGTTGAGAATGTTGATTAGTGAAAACGCCCAGTTCAATCCTATATTTGCAGTTGAGTAAAAAAGTATAAAACGTCCTTGACCTGCCGATTGACCGGCCCATGCTAGCCTACACACGGTCACAGGGTGTCCTTAGCAAATCTTTAACACATGCATTACTTTAAAGTCACCTTAGCTGCATCAATGTGTAGAATGTTAATAAAAGTTTAAAAATCTAATTCTTTGTGAAGATTTTTTTAAATTTGAATTTTCTTTAACTAAGTATATTTTTGGGAAAGTCACTTCAAATTTAATTTTTCTTATTTAAAAGAAGTTAATAGTAATATTTTAACAGAGTTAGAAACAAATAGATTATCAAGTACAATATGTGGCAACAGAGAAATGGATCAATTATACAAGACGTCACAAGTGTCAAATTTAACAAGGAAAACGAAATTTTCTCACATTAGTTGACATGTTTTCTAAGATTGAATAAAAAAGTGTAAAACCAGAAAATAAATAACACAAAAAAAAGTAGTTCTTTTTCACTGAAAGATAAGCTCTTTATTCTAAAATTATCACTATTATTAATAATTTTGTCAGACACATAAAACTGATTTGACACTTGTGATGTAAGAATACAGCTGTACTGAGAGTGTACAAATACTACGCTGCCATCTATTGTATACTTAATAATCTTTTTGGTTAGAAACACCTTACTCTTAAACTGATGTTGTCAGCTGATTAAAGGGACCGTGGCCATGTTTATAATTTTAAGAAAAATTATTAATTTTAATTTGGTTTCTGTACAAAAGTAACTTTTGTATTTAAATTGCAAGAAAACAATGACGGAATTATTAGAATTGAACATTATCAAGCTAGAAAACTCACGCTGTTTTCCAGCTTTGTTGATCAGAAAAAGGTTTCAAGCTGGTACCGCAGTCCTCTATATTGATGCACATTTTTCCCTTTAATAGTTTAAAGCTGTATTGTATAGAATACTTTGGAAAAGAAAGATGACTTTTGATTCAAGTTTTGACTTAAAATAGTCACACACAGTAATTGTGCACAGTAACACAGTACAGTCACACTACACAGTACAGTACAGTAATTGTGCACAGTAACACAGTACAGTCACACTACACAGTACAGTACAGTAATTGTGCAGACTCAGTACTGATTTAATAAGTCTCTTGTAAACAAATCAAATACGCTCAAGTCTCCGCCAGTTTAAAATGTCGTCTTTATTTCAGGATTAAAATGTTCTCTTCCCCTTATGGAGGGTATAGCGACGGATATTCCTCTCGTCCTAGGTAACCCCCAATTTCAATCTTATGTACAATTTTTTTTCATCTAACAGAATTCATAGTTTGAAATCTCAACAAATCTACAACACTGGGGTACACAGATATAAGAGATTAGAAAATCTGAGTTTGTGGCAAATATCCATTTTCTTCAAGGCCTTAAAAATTTAATATAGAAATTGTAATAAAGAAGTTTTGTTGTGTCTTCACATCAAAGTAAAAAATCTCAAAAATTCTTTTAAACTTAAAAGCTTTCTGAGCTGAATACCGCTAAACAGTCTGTAATCCTTCCTTGCCTTAAACATGTTTAAAATTACCACTTAACATAAATTCTCTTGCGGATTTCGACTTTTTTCTTCATGTATTTATCGCATTGGCAATTTTTTACCAACCTGGATATCGTATTGTATTATCATTACTATTATTATTATTATTATTATTATTATTATTATTATTATTATTATTATTATCATCATTATTATCTATATATTCAGATATAAGGATTACTCAAGCAGATATGCAAATGTTAGTGCATATCCTACTCCTATGAACTATAGGTAAAACATTTAATAAATAAAGAAAAATTTCTAACAAGTAAAAAGTAAAATGCAAGTCGTCTTCGTTCCGTTTTTTAACTGTTACGACTGCATACATTTCTATATACAAAACATATATCACGGGCAGCCGTAGTACATTTGAATTTCCGAGCCGGGTCAACCTTTTCGGTCCAAGTTTGTACTGTCTGTACCTAGCTCTATGGACAGGACTAGCCGGTGCAACAAGGTTGACGCGGTCAGACTTCATGCTGCATATTGGTTATTTACTTTAACTAAAGAGGCAGAGGTGCGTGATATCTATAGTTAAAAAAAATATATTTTCGGTAATCTTTATAGAGTTATAGAAGTTACAAGTTTAAACCTTTAATGAATTAAATGTTTCTAATTTTATGAAAAGAAAGATTTGACTTAAAGTGTCTTTAAATGGCTGCAAATACAAAAATTGTAATTACAAATTTCATCATTGAAAAGAAATTGATCCGTAGAATCAAATCTGAAATTCACCTTTTGCATATATTTAAAATGTTTCAGAAATTTGTCGAGCACCCCTACTAGGGGGACTACAGTGTCTAGAGGAAACTCTCTACCCCCCTCAGGATTAGGAAGGAATACATGAACTAAAATTAATAATTATTTTACGAAAAATTTTGTAAAATTTGCGTAAAACTTTAATTGTCTAATCCTATATCTTTGCAACCTAACTATTTAAACCTTTGGAATTATAAACTGGCTAAGATTATTATATCAAACAGAATTTATAGTTTGAAATATCAAGGGTCTACGACATTGGGTTGCAAAAATATAGGGATTTAAAAACCAGAGTTTGTGTCAGAACTCAATTCCTCTATAAATATCCAGCAAATTTTTCATGAAATTACTAAAAATATTTTGGATTGTAAAGTTTGGTTATTTGAGTTTGAATAATACAACCATTAACAATTAAACTAAAATTTCAAAATTTTTTCTTATTTTTTGTTTATTTTCTGCCACCAAGATGGTCGGGATAGCAGGCAGAGAACATCCTACAGGCAAACTTTTCTTTACTTGTTGGTATTTGTTTGTATCCAATAAACGTCCAAACGACGAAACTAATGGCACATTGATCCAGACTGAAAAAGTGTCACAACACATTGACCTCTGATTTGACCACATTGACCAATTATAATCTGTTTTAATCCTAGACATGTACATTGAATAATCTTAAAGCATTTGGTTGGTTTAACGTAGGACTAATTGGCAAAATGCTGATAGAGTTTTGAGCTTGCAATCTTTGGATCACTGTGATCTGGCCCAGGTTTTTTGTAGCAACTTACATGACCCCGGGGAAGGTTTATAGAAGATTAAAAATGACAAATATTGCCAGAAAAAAAATATCGACATTTATTATTTTTGAAATTGCGCAAAGAAACTGAGTTTTTGCCAAAAATCGCTGCAACCCAATGATGTAGACCTTAGATATTTCAAACAATGAAATATGTTGGACCGAATAATCTAAATTTGAAATATCACAGGTTTACACCGTCAGGTTGCAAAGATGTATGGATTGGAAAAAACTAGATTGTGGCAAAAACTCAGTTCCTTTAAACGGAAAATCCGAGAAATGTGATTTACAAAAAAATATAGCTTCTTAAACAGCAACGATCATTGTCTCTTTGAATGTTTCAAGATTATAATTATATAAAGATCATTGGAATAAAACAATGTAGCCTGTATTGTTTATCAATTTGTCAGTTTAGATATCGAAATTTTTTTCAAACATCGAAATGTTTCCCCAAAGTCAATTTCTTTTAAATCTAATATTTCTTCAAACTTTGTGGAGTTAAACAGTTATCTTTTTACTGTAGGTTTTTGTAATCTTGAGCACTTTGAAGTAACTGATAAGCTCAACATAGCAGGGAACTTTTCAACACTGCAATACATACACTCCATTTTAAACTATTTTTTTCAGAAATATTTTACATTTATACTAAATCCAAATTATTATTTTTTAAACTTTCTCTTCGAATGTCTTGGAGATGCACTGAAGATGTTTTAAATGAAAATCAATGTGTTTTACAAAAGAATCAATGAGAAAATAAAAAAGTAATTATAATATGGCAAAAATATGATTAAATTGTAAAAAATTATTTTCTCTCCAAATATTTTTTTCAAGTAAAATAAAAAATAAAAATGAAAATAGTAAAAAGAAACCATAAAAGAAGTGCCCTCACACACCCTTCAATAAAATTGGTGGATGCCCCCTTTCCTAAAGATTTAGGATAGTTGATTTTCTATTTAGATCTGAAAGGCCGAGTACGCCCCCCAACCGAAACCTACGACTTAAATCTCCGAGTATACCAAAAGAACGAACAAGAGATGAATTGATTGATTCTATTGTACACACCCGGACACGTGAACACAGGTATTACTGGTCCAACTTTGTTGCCTCGTAGCTCACTACAGTTTCAGTAGAAGTAAATATTTCCATTTACTGATAGCGCCGATTGAATGATTCATATCTCTAATTGGATAATGAGATGGATAGAAAGATAGATGTTACCGCCATACTATTTCTATTGTTTCAGAATAAAAGAGAATAGAATATATATTAGAGCGGAATTTGGTTCTCTGTATGAATTTTTTCAGTCCCTTTCAGCCTGAAAGGGAGTTCAAAGTGTACAAATCATGGAAATGTTCACAAATTATATGCAGTAGAGTACATTAATACAGTATGTTCCCTAAACATCATTTGATTTATAGTTTTAACGGAAAATCATCGTTTGTAAAGTGAAAGACATAGAGTCTATGTGAAATGATCATTGGTCAATTATGAAACCAGCCTTTTTCATATTTTGGTTCATATTAATTTGAGATTTTCTATAAATGATATTCCAGGGCCCAAAAGGTTATATAGCATAAATATGTTAAGTACACCTGCTGTATGGAAACAGTACAACAAATTGGCCGTTTTACACTTTTTCTGGTAAATTCCCCTCTAATATATATCTATTCTCTTTGTTCAGAATAGACAACAAACACATGGCTGAACCCTGATTGGATCAGGCGCTAATGGACTTGGCATCATTATGAAAGAGGAAATTTATGCTTTTACATACAGGGTGTCCCACGAAACATGACAGCTAGTAAATAGTATTGAATGTCTTCTTCCATATATTATATAAGATATTGAAGACATTTTGCAGTTCATCTAGATAAAAAAATCTTTCCCTCAAATATATTTTACTTTTAAATCAATTTTACTATAATATGAGAACCATGTGATGTTTTTTATCATTCTGTTTGGCATCAAAGAACTATATGAAGGAATCGAGTTTTTGCCACAAACTCGCATTTTCTAACCCCTATATTTTTGCAACCTTATGGTGTAAGCCTTTGATATTTCAAACTATTTGATCTAACAGAATTATTAGTTTGAAATATCAAAGGTCTTGGAAAACGGGTTTCAAAGTTATAGGAATTGGAAGATCAGAGTTTGTGGCAAAAACTCAAATCCTTTTGGAAAAAGATGTTTACTATTCAACCACTGTCATGTTTTGTGGGACACCCTGTATTAGAAATCCAAAACGTTGTTGATATTCTCAATAGCTTCTCAAGAAGAGGAGTTTGGATTGGAAACATTCAACGATTCCATCTTTTTTGTTTTTTTCATAACATTGACACAGTTTTCTTTTTATCCTTTTCTCGAGACAGGGACATCAGATTGAAATAATATTGGTCTCGATCAACTCCTAAAATATTTTCGCCAATTTTACCTTAACTGCAGTCCCTTCAAGCTCTACTATTTTATGTGTCATTGCTAAAGGAACTGAGTTTTAACCACAAATTCTGATTTTCAAATCGCTATATCTTTGCAACCTGATTGTTTTAACCTTTGATATTTCAAACTATCATTATTTGATCTAAAATAATTCATAGCTTGAAATATCTAAGGTCTCCGACATTGAAATGCAAATATCACCCCGAACTAACCAGAGAGAGAAGCATTCGGTTTCTTTTATTTGAAATCAAACGTGTTTTCGTCTATAACTCAACAGTCTTTAGACTTACAGATTTGTTTATATAATACTTTTTAAATCAAAATCTATATGCCAACAAAAAACTAGATAAAAAGCTATAAAATTATGTTAAAGGGGTCAAATTGTGATCGAAAGTCACAGTTTTCTGAAATATTGACAGAACCGTTAAATCCACGTGAAAATCAGAAAATCAGAGTTTGTGACAAAAACTCAATTCCTTTAGGGGTTATAAAGGAAATCATTCGTATTAAGATATAAACCTTGTTTCTAATTTAATTGGTGAAAGTCAATCTTGCAGTTGAAAGCATGTCGATTGTAATTAGTCACCTGACTAAGTTCTGCCAAAATAAAAACAAATTTGAAGATAAAACACGATTAAAGATATTTGAAAATATTAGATGTATCAATTTCTCTGTCTACTCACGTGCTGAGCACAGCGGCAGGGTTACTCAAAAAATATGAGACTTGAACTCGTTTTTTATTTAAACAATCTGTGTCTCTGCAATGAATTGGCTTCTCTTTCTGCCAGATAATATAATAAATAGTTTACCATTTAATAGTTTACCATTTAATAGTTTACCATTTAATAGTTTACCATTAAATTGTTTACCATTTAATAGTTTACCATTTAATTGGTTACCATTTAATAGTTTACCATTTGAAGGTGATGTTCAAAATAGATAACTATGATTAATCTTCTGTATTATTATTATTATCATAATTCTCTGCAAGTTAAGATTTTCTTAGCAATGAAAAAGTCTTGATCGGAGGGGGGGGGGGAGAGTAAAAAAATTTGCCCCTTAGATTTAATTTAAATTTTTAAATATTTAGAGTTATGCCCGGATTTCGGTCCTCTACTGATTATGATGAACGAAAATCCATGAGAGTTGATTGTGACAAGGTAAATACAAAATTTAAAAAATCTATGAGAGTAGATTGTGACAAGGTAAATACAAAAACTAAAAAATCTATGAGAGTAGATTGTGACAAGGTAAATACAAAAACTAAAAAATCTATGAGAGTTGATTGTGACAAGGTAAATTCAAAAACTAAAAAATCTATGAGAGTAGATTGTGACAAGGTTTATGCAAAACTAAAAAATCTATGAGAGTAGATTGTGACAATGTTTGTACAAAACTAAACAATCCATGAGAGTAGATTGTGACAAGGTAAATACAAAACTAAACAATCCATGAGAGTAGATTGTGACAAGGTAAATACAAAACTAAACAATCCATGAGAGTAGATTGTGACAAGTTAAATGTAAAGACTAAAAAATCTATTTGAGCACATTGTGACAAGGTAAATACAAAAACTAAACAATCTATGAGAGTAGATTGTGACAAGGTAAATGCAAAACTAAACAATCCATGAGAGTAGATTGTGACAAGGTAAATACAAAACTAAACAATCCATGAGAGTAGATTGTGACAAGGTAAATACAAAACTAAACAATCCATGAGAGTAGATTGTGACAAGGTAAATGCAAAACTAAACAATCCATGAGAGTAGATTGTGACAAGGTAAATGCAAAACTAAACAATCCATGAGAGTAGATTATGACAAGGTACAAAACTAAACAATCCATGAGAGTAGATTGTGACAAGGTAAATACAAAACTAAACAATCCATGAGAGTAGATTGTGACAAGTTAAATGTAAAGACTAAAAAATCTATTTGAGCACATTGTGACAAGGTAAATACAAAAACTAAGAAATCTATGAGAGTGGATTGTGACAAGGTAAATACAAAAACTTAAAAATCTATGAGAGCAGATTGTGACAAGGTAAATGCAAAAACTAAAAAATCTCTCAATGCTACCTAAAACCAACTACAACTAACTACTAGCTAATCAAGCCTGTATGGAAATATTTTCAGTCATATATATTTTGAACTTTGAAAATTCGTAAATAAATTTAAGTAGCTCCTACTTCAGGTGCTATATTTAAAATATATACAGTGGTAAGCGATTATATCAATACAATGAAAACGACTTTGTTACTTTTTATTGTTGCAAGCTTTATTCAAATTGCAAGTTTACAAGTAATACAAGAGAAGCTTCTCTTGAATATTATGTTTATGTGTATCCAGGCTGTTTAACAGCTTGATATAAATCAAAATTAAAATCAAAAGTCGTCTTCATTGTATTGATATAATCGCCTACCACTGTAGTATAAAATAGCATGAACGAAAAATCTGCATTACATGGGTAAAAATGGATTCTAAAGTTCAGAGACCCACTGGACGTTTAATCAGGACCTCGATTGTTTAAAAAGATTTTTCATTTCTCCGTCTCAAAAATTTGCAACTCTGCAAACTGTACTGCGGAGGGTAAAGTGGTGGCTTTTATCTTTTTTAATCTTTTTTATGATAAAAGTTCTTTGTACCAGAATTATTCTACAGGGTTACCCACAAATGATGAGACTTCAGAGACGACTGGACAGAATTAATATTAACTTATATTTAGGATTCTCTGCAACTTTGAACTAATTTCTTTCGTTGTCATTACAGGACAATATTCAATGCAGAAGACTTAATTTAACCTTGTATTCGTCGTATTTTATGAGTTTTATGTCGTCTTTACAGTCTCATCCTTTGTGGGTAACCATGTATGTATTTTTTTTAATTTATAAACTTGATAAGTTACTTATTTTTTAAGATTTTAAAAAATGATCATATTTTCTTCAGGTTTTCAACGGGATCATCATTGGAAATGGAGAGACTATTCTTAATATTGATTATTTACTAGGTAATATCCATCAAATTAATATATTTCTTATCTTTTAGTAATTGGCAATTCGTTTTTCGATCAGAACAATTTGAGCTTGAATTAAAAATTTAAAATGTAATCATAATTCTTGAGCATTGAACTGTATGGCCTATGGTCTACAAGAGATGTTTTTTTATTAAAAATTAAAGCTTATTACTGTAGACTGTAATTAGTGGGTGACATGTTTTCATATGAAATGATTTTTCAATTTAATTAAAACCTATTTAAGCTGATTGTTCTTTCAAGAAAGGAACTGAGATTTTACCAAAAACTCAAATGTTCTATTCCTTTTATATCTCTGCAACCGGATGGTTTAAACCTTTGATATTTTAAATTTGGATTATTTGATCAAACATAATGCATAGTTTGAAATATCTAAAGTCTAAGACATTGGATTGAAAAGATAAAGGGATTAGAAAATCAGAGTTTGAGGCAAAGAATCAATTCCTTTTCCGAATTTTAAGTTATGTTGCAGCAGCTAAATATGTCAGATATCCTTTTCATTCTATTATCAAATTCGAACAAAAAATTTGTAGTTTCGAAATGATTTTAATTATTTGATATTGCTAACAACATTTTAGGTTTTATTCTTTTGACAGATTTGGTGTTTTCTATTAAAAAAATCAGCTGTTGTGTAGGTATAGGTGTAACCCACGTGCTGAATACCGCTGAACAGCACGTGGTTGTAAACCCCGGGAAATACAGCTGTCACGGAATCCAGTATTATGGCTTTCATGTTGACGATTTGCCACAATCTAATATTTCAAGGTAAAACTTTAAACTTCAGGATGATTTATAAACTCTCTCAAAAGGTTTAAGCAATAAACACGCCCAACAGTTTTGCAACAAAACTACTTTTTGTTTAACATTTACAATCAACTTTGAAGTTGCCTTTTTCACGATATTAAGTATATTCACTAATCGATAAGAAACTTTTTTATAAATTCTGATTTTTATTGGAAATATCTTTGTATTCTTTTTTCATAATAATATACAATAGTTTTATACAATACATGTTTGTTAAATAAAAGGGATGGGGAGAAAAATATGAAAAATGTCAACCCCTGGCTAACAAAACCTATTAAGGTACTCAGTTCTGAACCACTCCCTTGGTAATATTTTGCAGGAATTGCAAAGTCAATGATTCATTGATTTAAAATCAAATGAAAAAAATGTTAGGACTTCAAAACAGTTAAAAATAAAATCTTTAATTACAATGAAAATGAGTTAAACAGACTGTTAATAATTATGTTTAGTCATGCAGAACTTTAATGTAGATTGAGACTTAAATGCACATAATACATAATACTTAATCATCCAGAACTTTAATGTAGATTGAGACTTAAATGTACATAATACATAATACTTAATCATGCAGAACTTTAATGTAGACTAAGAATTAAATGTACATAATACATAATACTTAATCATGTAGAATTTTAATGTAGATTGAGAATTAAATGTACATAAAACATACTACTTAATCATGTAGAACTTTAATGTAGATTGAGACTTAAATGTACATAATTCGTAGTACTTAATCATAAAGAACTTTAATGTAGATTGAGACTTAAATGTACATAATACATAATACTTAATCATGTAGAACTTTAATGTAGATTGAGAATTAAATGTACATAAAACATACTTCTTAATCATGCAGAACTTTAATGTAGATTAAGAATTAAATGTACATAATACATAATACTTAATCATGTAGAACTTTAATGTAGATTGAGAATTAAATGTACATAAAACATACTACTTAATCATGTAGAACTATAATGTAGATTGAGACTTAAATGTACATAATTCGTAGTACTTAATCATGCAAAATTTTAATTTAAGCAAAATATAAAATATACTTAACCTGATTTTTTTTCAAGTTTCTTTTTTTGACAATGTTTTTAAAGATTTTCTTTTGGATATGCACTAGCTCTGTATCACTTTTGTTTAGATATTTTCATAGAACAACAGATTTCATTCACAAAGCTGTAAGTGGAGGAGGAGTGATAGTTGTTAACTGCTTCATGGGCTGGTCCAGGTAATAGAATTCTTGGTGAAGTATAATCAGTGTAGCTTGGTAGCCCAGCTGGTCAAAGTAGGATTCACAAAGCTTTGAGTAAAATGGAAAGAACCAGCTTGTCCAGCTAAACATGATATTCACTACATTGCTATCATGGGAAGTGTGAATATTGCATTGCTACATGATGTTATTCAGGTAAAAATGTTATTCACAACATTGTGCCATATAGGAATGATTGTTGTTTGATGCTTCATATACCCATATTCAGGAAGATGATATTCACAAGATTGTGTCTCTGGGAAGTATGATTATTGTTTGATACTTCATGTGCCTATCCCTAAACATGATATATTTACAAATCTGTGATCATAAGAATTGTGATTATTGTTGGATGTGTTTGATATGAACTGACTGACAGTAATATAGTTTCTGTTTGTTAACGATCTTCATTTTTAATGTTTAATGGTAGATAAAAACTACTTTTTTACCATAGATAATCTTAGATCAGCAACATGTGTAGCTGCCTATCTTATGATGAAGCACAACATGACTTCAACAAGGGTAGGTTTTTAAGAATTTAAAATGTATCTTAACGGTCGAAATGTTAAAAAATCCCTTTCCCCTTCCCCCCATTTCCTTTTTTAAATCTTGTTATTTACAATAAAAGTGTTTTAAAACAAGAGGGGGAAAGGTAAATCACATTTTATATCTCCATTATGTATTATGTACATAAAATTTGTCCACACCTAAATTTTCAAAATATATCGTTCATCTTCCTGCATTTTTGTTCAGGCATTGGAGACAATCCGGCAGTCCCGCCCCATCCGCCCTAATGCTGGCTTTCTTCAACAACTTGCTGATCTTGAAAATACACTGGCAAAGCGTATCTCATGGTACTAAATACCATCTTGGACACCTGTTTTTTTGACTTATTCTTTATTATAGAAAACTTCATGGCCATTGGCAACCAATATTGCATTACTTATGGTCTTCATCAGCTTGCAAACATAAAGAATATATTGGCCATACATATCTCATATCTCTTGTGGACTTAGGCCTTACATTTTCATCAAAACCTTCAATGATCCAGACAATTAACTCGCCATACCTTTCTTGTGGTACATATTCAGCAGGCAAATACTGGCAAAGCGTATCATATGCTATTAATCTCATAATAGTGTGCCTTAAAGTTTCTTCAGCAGCTTTCTGACCAAAAGAATACAATGGAAAAGATGATTGCATAGCACTAACTTCCATAACAGGCCACTCAGCCTTATAATTTCTTTACCTAGCTTGGTGGTGATCTGAAGAATACATAGATTAAACATAGCTAATATTAAAATATTTCAACTCATTGTATTTTGCCATTACAAGACCTCTTGCCTAAACTGGGTTTAGACTTTTATCAATTTATGTTTTAATGTGCCAAATGCTTCAGTTATATTTTCTGCCTTCTATGTAGAAAGAGTTTGAAATGATTTTAAAAAGAGGAATTTCAGAAACTTTTGAAACAACAAGAGTTTTTTCCATTTGTTTAAATATTAACCAGTGCCTGTGAGTTTATCAATTTTAAGTTCAATTATATGGTTTAAAAATTGCATTGCGTTGTTTTCTTTATCTTTGACTATTTGAATTCAGTGATAATTTTGGAAACAACCATCTAGTCTTTAAAATCGCTGCAAGATTTGAATGATTTTTGTATAAAATGATACTAATTCCTTGTATATTTTTGTATTAAACGAATTTGTAAATTAACAGTAATTGTAAGTCCCTGCTATGATCAATAATACTTCTGATAAATAATTTTTTTATGAATGAATGAGTTTTTGTGTTAGAGAAAGTAATTTAATATTTAAAGTGTGTGTTTTAATGGTTTTATAAAGTTTACCTTACAGCTACACTTTGAAAACTATTATTATAAAGGATAAACTTTCTGAATTTTTAGAGATATTTTATAATTGTGTCCTAGTTTTTTTGCCATGTAACGGTTTACACCTTTTTTCTCTCTTGTTGACAATAAAAACAAGAATATTTCCCCAATTCTAAACCAAAATATTGAAAATATCTTGTTGATAATCTTGTAATTCTTTAACAAAGATTAAACCTTTATCATGGATACCGGTGAGTTTTAAAAATCAAAATACTTACATTGGTAAATAAATGATAATACAATTGATATCTTTTATTCAGATTAATATAAGCATGTATATGAGTGAAACGGCAGTTTGAAAATATAGATGGGAATTTACAATGGGAATGACTAGGCAAGAAAGTGAGTTGGCAGTTTTTGGCAACAAAGTCAGCCAGTTGCTTCTGGCAATTAAGTCTGCTAAGGCTGGCAATAATTCTGCTGTCTTGGAAGTCTCATGATGTATATTGTACAGGATGTCACTTTTTTAGAACATTTGTCTTGTGTCTGTTTAAAATTGCAAATTAATTTTGATAAAGGCAGTTGTAATCTTGTTTAAGTTAAGTGCACCAATGAATGCACTTCCTTTAACCATTGTTTCCATAGATGTTGACTAAGAAGAAATAAAACAATTTTAATTAGTCTTAATTGTCAATTACTGACTTCACTTTCGCGCATTCATATTTTCGTCATTTTGTTTTAGGATTTTGAAATAAAGAACTGTCAAATTTAAGCAAGACCAGATTCTGCGGAAGGAGTGTAACACCACTTCTTAACAACGGGCTTCTTCACCTTCCTGGGGTTGGTTCTGGCTCTTGTGCACACCTCCTTAGGAACATCAACACACTCCTCAGTGGGTTCTAACTTGGGAACCAGCTTTGTGACATGAGCACAGGTTCTCTGGGGTTCTAGGGAGCATTCTTCCTTGGGAGCATCCTGGACAACAGTCTGTGTTTTGTCAAAGCATTCCTCAGCTCCCTCCTTGAACCCACATCCTGCAGGGGCACATAGCTCCCTGGGCTCCTTGGTACATCCAGTGATAGGGGTATACTTCTGCACTTTCTTCTTGGTAACCTTGCATTCTTCTCTAGGCCACTTGGAGCACTTGGTTAGAGTGGTGTATCCAGAGGTTTCATCAGCACATTTCTCATCCTGGATGGTTTCACACTCAACAACATCATCTTCAACATCGTGAACTTCCTGCTTGGTCCAGCACTCTGATTCATACTCAGTTCTGCAGATTTCAGGTCCTTGGACATCACAGTCCTTCACAAGAGGTGTTCTGCATACTTGGACTGTCTCATTGAAGGCAATCTTCTCGTAGTTGATGAAACAGTTCTTTCTGAAGTTTTCCTCGCACTCCTCCTCCTGCTGGGACTCGTAGTTGGTGACATAGGTGGTGTGACACCTTCTGTCGTAGGAATGGTCACACTGGACAACTTCATCATATTCAGTCTCCTCAACCATCTCAACCTTGTCAATACATCTTTTGCCATCAGCTCCAGGACTTGAAGCAGCAACAGCAGGGAAGCTAACATCAGTATCAGCAGCTCCTTGACGATCACCACGAGGAGCAATACTCTGAGATGGGATAAGACGGGCAGGTGTCTCTACATGTGCATGATGATCATGTGCGTGTGCATCAGCTCCTTGAGCATTGAAAGGGAATGTGTTAAGGAGGGACCGTTGACCACGAATATCCTGGGAATTGCCACGAAGGGTTCGAGCACTGTATGCTCCTCCAACCAGAAGTAGGGACAAGATCTAAGGAAATATTGATAATATTAGATTTAAAATGTAAAAACCTAAAGATAAAACCACAAAAACTTTTGTGATCCAGCAATTTAAATGATGAATTTTGGCAAAATATCAGCATGTCGGTGAAGACCTTTCTTTACTGTGTAAAGGTGTGGCTCACAAAGGATTTAAATTCAACAAAAAATAGGGTTTTCTTTCTGCTGTCCACAGATTGAAGGAGTGTCTCAAGGTTTAATGAAAGACCATTACCATTTTGCATTGCTATTCCAAGAGCAGGACCTTTAGGTGAACAAGGTACAATTTAATTGTTTTAATGTTGCCCGTTTTTGAAGATTTGTTTTACCATCCAGAAATCTAGGATTTTATCACATCTTATCAAAAAATATGAAAATTACCAAGCTTTTGAAAATTTAAAGAAATATATGTAATTTTTATGTTATACCATTTTAACAGGAGCCATTGTTGTAGCCTACAGGTGTTCCCACGAGTACTGCTTCCAGAAGACTGAAGATTCAAGGGTCACACCTTCTTTATATACTCGCAGGCGCATCCTCATTAACTCTCTTTCTATCTAATTCATATTTCTCGCGCATTTTACCCATCTCATCAACATTTTGCATAGAACTTTATCACAAGCCTATTTACTTCACAAATAGCAATGGGTTTGTAAATTGGGGGGGGGGGGGGGGGGGCGAGCACTGTCTTATCTTGAAAAATGTTCTTGAATTTTAAAAAATTTGGAAAAGTTTTACAGACAATTTTTTTCATTTTTCAGAAAATCAGCACGTGAACAATAATTGCATGCTTTTCTTAATGGATTTTCAAAAATGTAAATTTTAAATTCGTAAACACAACTCAATTTTTAAAAGTTGTAGTGAGTACTTGAGATTTTAAAATTACCAAATGGGATTCCAACAGTCCTGTAACACAAACCCTACTGTCCTTAAAGGGACTGTAAACGTAAACTCAAAGGACCCTGATACAATGATGGCAATGCCCGTTTCACAACGGTACCCTAATCAATAACGTGGAAGGGATGGTCGTGTTTACAGGTTTTAAAATGTTTATTTCTGATAATTCCTATATAATTCCTGCTTCTTTTTTTGCATTTATTGAACTTGTTCATACAGTTTCTGCTGTTGAAATGCACCAGATACTTTTGTAGAGAAACCACAATTAAAAATTAGTTTTCAAAATTATAAACGTAGATTTCTAATTCTTACTTGATCAGACAAAGTTTTATAGGGTACCTTTGTAAATTGGGCACAGCCATCATTGTATGAAGGTTCACTTGAAATTACGCTTACAGTCCCTTTGAGCAAAACTATTTTACAAAACCCCCTTAAAATTTAAATTTTTTTCATTGGCAAGAAGTTTCAAATATGATCCCTGCTTTTTTTAGCAAAAAAAGGATATTTTTGTGTCAAATGTGCACTTGATAAATTGCGTGGCTTGGAGCAAGATGATCAAATTATTTTCATGTTCTAAACTTTTTCTTAGAAATGCAAATAAATGCATATTGCAAGTTGTAACCGCATGATTCAGAACCCCATCCCCCTGCCCCTGCCATCTTGAATATACACCATTACCTTTACCCATGAATCTCTCAAATTACACAAATAAAAAGATGTTTATTGTTCTTCCTAATCATCTACAGGGTTACCTTTAGAGACGACTATATTGAATTTTAATTAGTCTTTTCTTAGATTTCCTTCAGCTGTAAACTGTTTCTTTTTTACCAAATCATTTTACATATTTCTAGGAAACTTTATACACATGTCAGTAAAGAATATTCAATCTCCAGGGCGCTATATTTTAAGATTGTCAGGTCGAATTATTGATGTATCATTTCTGGGTAACCAACTCTGTATTATTCGAACGAAAAAAAAATTGCAACCTTGTATATTTTGCTTTAAAAGAGTACCGTTGTAAATCGGGCATTGGCATCTTTGCATACAGGGTCACTTGAAATTACGCTTACAGTCCCTTTAAAGCGGGAAGGGGTGGTCAAAACAAAAAAATTGGTCGGGGGGGGGTCTTATATGAAGCTAGGAGGGGAGTGTCCAGTGGTTCAATTAAAAGAGTTGAGGGGATGGTTCAACTAAAAAGTGAGGATTGGATAACTGAATTAAAAAATGAGAAATGTGATTTTAATTAAAAAAGAGGATACCGGTCTAATAAAAGGGAGGGAAAAGGGGGGCGTTTCGTAATTAGATTTTTAAAAGTGTTCATGTTTCGATTACTGATTGACTTAATTTTTGATAAATGCAAATGCAAGTTGTAATGCATTGAATTCGTCCTTGTAAATATTGATTTTTCAAATATTCGTGCATTTTTGGATAAAATGAATTCAGGATTTGGCTCTGAAAAATCCATTAATTCGATTCGATTTATTTTTTCAACATAAAAAATTGTTCAGAGTTTCTTCATTTTTTACACTCTTAAAACGCAATTCTTAGGTTGGTCTACGGTTTACGTCATTTGATATGTTTTTTAACGTTTTTTCTTTAGAACTTTTTTTCTTTGTACAACCTGAAATTTAAAATAGTGCAATTTTAACATCCTAAACGTTTTATTTTTTGCAAGTTTTTAGTGAATTTTTTACTTTTCCTATTTTTCGAGCTTGGGAAGTTACAACTTAACCAAAGCCAGTTCAAATGTAATATTATACGAGTAAAATGGGACAAATCCTTACATTTTTTATTGTTAATCTAATATTTTCAAAGAACATTTTCAAGAAAGGAATTGAGTCTTTGCCACAAACTCAAATTTGCAAACCTCTATATCTTTTCAACCTACTAGTGTAATCTTTTGATATTTCAAACTTAGACTATTTGATCTAACAAAATTCATAGTTTGAAATATCTCAAGTCTATGACATTTGGTTAAGAAAATATAAAAATTAGAAAATAAGATATTGTTGCAAAGACTCATTTCCTTTGATTTTCTTTCAATTATTTTTTTCTTTCATAGCAACATTTGATTTTGTTCATTTTTATTTTTTTCATCGTGATACTTCCTTTCAAGGCTATGGATAAATAATTTCTGGGTTAAGTGAAATGTTGCAAAATGCAGAAATCTGCAACATGCAAATTAATTACACAGCGTATACACCGATTGTAATAAGAGGAAATGCATGACAAATAGCATTGAAGCACAAGTCGGGACGTTTAGTTTGAATAGTAAACCTGATATAATACAATAGTTTAGTTTGAATAGTAAACCTGATATAATACAATAGTTTATTTTGAATAGTAAACCTGATATAATACAATAGTTTAGTTTGAATAGTAAACCCGATATAATACAATAGTTTAGTTTAAATAGTAAACCTGATATAATACAATGACAATTTTTTAAGGCTAAATATTCCAAATCTGATGAGAAGGCCCGTGCTTTTTACTTCGTTATTGTGTCTTCATTCTTGGGGCCGAAATTTTTTTTGTAAGAACCGATTAGCGTCACAGACTTAACTCGATAAAACTGTCAAGTTAAAAATTCAATACTCAGTAAATTTTAGAGTTTTATAAGCAAAACCAATCTCAACAACAGCACTTTACTCTTTTCGGTTTAATGCCATTTTGACCAAAAGATGTTTTTATATTTTTGGTGTTAGTAAAAAAATAAGAATTAATTGCAAATGCCTCATCTTTGTAGATATTTTTATAAACAATAATTTTAGTTCAAAAGATAATAATATAGATGAAGAAGATGATTTTTGAATCTTTGTAAAATTTTAAATATATTTATCTGAATTTGCAACTGCAAAGAGTTTCAATAGTTAAATCATGGAGTTAAGTATTTTCATTTCAATATTTGCCCACGTTCAAATATTTTGCAAAGATTTCATTTTTAAATGTCGTCGATTGACCAAAAATCAAGGAGGGTTTAACATCTAAGTTAACTCAATTTTCTAATTTAAATGAACATTAGAAAAACGTAATTTAAACATTTTTTTTCAAAAGTTTTTTAAATAAAAAAATTACGGGCAACTTCGGTCACATCATCAGAAAGTATATATTGGCTGGTCAAACGGCTACTGAATAGGCTGACATTTTTTAGGAACCCCATGGGTAGCCTGGGGTAACATGAGCAAATTTTTTTTTTGAAAATTCGAAATTTTTTCTACGGGTAACGCCGAATACTTTAGCTAGTATGATATATATAATAATAAATGAGAAATATATACAACATATATAAAAATACATGAACCGGGAAAGTATACAACATATATAAAAATATATGAACCGGGAAAGTATACAATATAGTGGACGTGGGTCAGACTCAAATAAAAACGCATAAAGTACTTCCAGTACTATATTTCTTATAACTTATTACTAGAGGGTTCAGAACATGAGTCTATATCAATATCACACGTGTTAGACTGTCCGTCATTACTATGCCCCGTATCCGTTCTANGAGGTTTAGCTTATTAGCTCCAGGAGTAGCTGAGGTTTAGCTTATTAGCTCCAGGAGTAGCTGAGGTTAGCTTATTAGCTCCAGAAGTAGCTGAGGTTAGCTTATTAGCTCCAGGAGTAGCTGAGGTACAGCTTATTAGCTCCATTAGTAGCCAAGGTTAAGCTTATGTAGCAGTGTAGCTGATTAGCTCCGGGAGTAGCTGTATAGCTAATTAGCTTCTGGAGTAGCTGTGTAGCTGATAAGCTCCGGGAGTAGCTAGCTGTGTAGCTCATTAGCTCCGGGAGTATTTGTGTGATTTGGATGTTTCTGAAGGCAGCCTCTGCATGAAGGAACCACAAGTCTCAAGTCACAAGTCCTCTGTCCAAAAATCCGGGAGCTTGACGGAGACTTTGGCGATATACTCGGTTGGAGTTTCTTTCTTGTCCGTCATGATGCTCGAATGTATCACTTAATGTTCGAAGTTAAAGAAAATCACGAAACTGGATAGCGTTTAACTGTATGTTCAAAGTTGGGGGTCACCAATATAGAGGACGTGGGTCAGACTCTAATAAAAACACATAAAGTACTTCCAGTATCTATATTTCTTATAACTTATTACTAGAGGGTTCAGAACATGAGTCTATATCAATATCACATGTGTTAGACTGTCCGTCAGTACTATGCCCCGTATCCGTTCTATCTCATTCTGTTGAATCTTGTGGAACTTGTTTAATGCGGCCAGGCATCGTCTTCCACAACAACATAAATAAAAATATATGAACCGGGAAAGTATACAACATATATAAAAATATATGAACCGGGAAAGTATACAACATATATAAAAATATATGAACCGGGAAAGTATACAACATATATAAAAATATATGAACCGGGAAAGTATATAACATATATAAAAATATATGAACCTGGAAAGTATACAACATATATAAAAATATATGAACCGGGAAAGTATACAACATATATAAAAATATATGAACCGGGAAAGTATATAACATATATAAAAATATATGAACCGGGAAAGTATACAACATATATAAAGATATATGAACCGGGAAAGGCATTTAATAAAGATTAAAATAGAAAACAATGAAGACCTCAACAAAATGACAGAATTTATTACAAG